TAAATGGCCCAATCAGAACTCGGTAGCTAGCGGTTGGAATAGATTCAAACTCTAGTATGTTGAAGGCCTAGTTAAGGGAAGCTTAAGTTTGGAACCCCAGACCCCTAAGACCCCCACTTCTGGTTTTATGCCCAAAGTAAACAAATCCACCCTTAACTTCCGGAAGTCATTTCTCGGCCACTGATGAGTGCAGGGAGCTGAAGGGAGGTACGAGAGGGTTGAAAAGTAGTGGCAAGATACGTCTTGTTTTATAATTTGAACCAAATCCGGCGGTTGGGCCTGAAGATATTAGCACTTGGAAAAACACCCACTTAGACCGGAAATAGGCAGTTTACGCAAAAAATTGAGCGAGGGCATAATGATTTTATTGCGACAATGGACATAGGATACGGACCCCGAAAAAAGACCCCTAGTGAGTGAGAACCCTCCGGCGACTCCTTCCGTTGTTAATAGCCTTTTAACCGGAAAAAGTGATATTGGACCTTAGAAATGGGATAACTTCTGAAGTTTTAATGAGATATGAATGAAACTTGGTAATTAAGACCCCGTAGGAAATTCTGAGCCCAAAAATAGAAGTTCGACCCCGGTTGACCCCTGGGTGACCTTAAGTTGATCTTTGGGCTTTTTTGACCCCAAAATTACGTAGACTGATATTAACACCGGAAAGTGGCGTATTCCCCAGGCTAACCCCTGGAAATGAGAATGGGTCACCTTGCTGAAAGTTGGGAGGAAAACTTGTATTTTGGTAACTAGAGCAGAAGCTGATAGAGATTTAGTTTTATATTGCAGCCCTGGAGTAGTAAAATTAATTCAAGTGGACTTGGTAAACATTGGCTTCAGTTTAGCTTGGCGAATGATCTATTAAAAGCAATTCAACTACACAAAAAAAAAGTAGTCCCAGAGGAAATTGATATTAATGAGACCGAAAGTTAAGTCTCCTAAAAAGTATGAACGAACGGGGAATTTACTTGGCTTCCCGCTGGTGACTTTTTGGTTTAATTTGACCCCTAATAGACGCTGATGTTCACAGAGTTCAGGAATTGGTTGATTAGAATCGCATGACATTTGTTTATTTGGTCAAACTGTAACAGCTACCGCATACCGGTTATCTAATAAGTGTGAAAAGATTGATAAAAAACCGGAGTTGGCACGTGGCAGAGTTGACAGGAGGAGGGATATAGTCTTAAAACATGTGCGGACGGGTGATTTAGGCGGATGTCAGGACTGATGGGGAACGGCGTCACTTAACTAAAACTAAGTGTAAAGAAAGATAAGGAATTGGAGGGTACCGGAGAGCCTGTAAGAGGCAGAAGAACTATTGCGAGCGAATCGAATAGTTGGTTCTCAGTTAGTTAGAGAACAATTTGGGCTACAACCGAAGGTAGTAGCCTGATTCTCAAGTAAAGTGAGAACGAGTTGGAAGACTTGTTAATGTGGCTGTAGATTAGTTAGTGAGTGTTAGTTAGGCTATCTAGAGGATAGCGGAATTGTTGTTGAGCGATTGATTTTGAAAGAAGTTCTCGAGGAGAACGTTAGCTAGTAGTGAGGTGTTAATTGAACTGCAGGAGGCAGTTGGTTTAAATAATAGTTATCGCGAACCCCTTTCTTTAATTGAATGATTAATTTATATTTCAGCCATTTATAGGCTACTCTGTGTTTGGATGTATTTTTTTCTTAATTCATTCTTATTATTGGAATTGTTGTTGCAATCGATTATTGATTGGCGGGTGAGATACAGTCGGAAGAGCACGAATCACGGGGCGAGCAGCACTGTACAGTACAGAGCAGCCAACCACCAAATCAACCCTTTTGGGATTGTGGACGGTACTGGGAATCGGTTGCCCCGATGACCTCAGTACCAAAGGGAACATATTGCGGCGATGTGTAATAGCGAGCAAGACCGGCCTAGAGATATTGTGAATCCCCCCACGTTTACAAGTACTCCTTCCTTGTCTTTTTACCAAACTTTCCACTTTCTTCTGACCAAATTTATTTTTTAACAAATCAAATCATGATCAACTTCAAAACGGTCCTACTCTAACTTGGACAATATTTATAACAACTTCAAACTAGCAAAGTTATATTGTTCAAACACAGTTTTGCTTAAAAAAATAACGGCTCTACATTCAAAAACAACAGCTCCATTTCATTCGCCCGATAGAAAAACAAGAGTTTTTCTATTTTTTCATCAAGCAGAAATGATCTCGAAGATCCAGCTGATTTTTCGAGAAATCGCAAGTTCTGATATTTTGTTTCGTTTCTACTTCATGGACAATGAGTGTTTATCTTTATAGAGAATTCGAGGCTGTTGACCATAGAGAGTAAATATTTCTTCCTAATGGATTGTAATAATTTAGCTTCGGTAGTTTTCAATGGCTGCACCAATATAATTTGATTTGATCCATTTTATGTTTTTGCTGGTCATTGTTACACCAATCAAAATTGAAATGGTTACAAAAAAATATCCTCATGTTGATTGTGTTTATAATCGTGCTTCTGTGCTTTTCGTTTTCTCCATGTTTTCCTCAAAGCTTGATTTGATAACAAGCTAGAAAAAATTCCTTCAAAATTAGATATATTCTTTTTTCTCATTTTCATGTTCAATTCAATTTGTCTCATGAAAACTGACTAATCAAATTGTAAAACCAGACTTGTTTTGTTTCTTTTCAATTCCTGTTGAACAAAAAGAATTCAGAAGAAGGTAATGACAACAACCTCTTTATTTGTTCGAACTTTTCATGAAATTGTTTGGGAAACCAGCAGCTGATGGAAAGCCATTGAGAGAATTGTGCAAATTTTCCAGGTTTTCAAGAACTACCCAACAACAAATAATCAGGGAGCAACCAAGTATTTCTTCCACTGAATTTTTAACTCATTTGAAGCCTCCTTGTGGCATACTCTTCATTATGGTATCTCCATAAAAATTCATGACAGTCAAAAAGAAACAAAGTGTTTTTGCTTAATACTCTGGGGTTATTTGTTTTCATGTATTTTTTCAGGTTCTTAAGTTTGGAGGTACTTAGCAAATCTTTAATCGGAGGATGCTATAATCTGGTTCCCCAAATAAGAGATGAACATCGGAAACCCATGAGTAGCTCATGAAATTCAAAATTTAATAGAACTTCTAACAAAAAGTTTACTTTGAAAAACAAATTTTCTTAAATGATTCGGAAGTTTTGTTTTTCACCACTTTTTAATCTAAAAACTTATATATGGCAGAAACAGTAAGAAAATAACAATCAAGTTATTTACTCAATTGCATATTAATTCATTGAAAAAGTTTCTTCGTATCATATTTCAGATCCGAAAATTTGTTTTAAATGGTTATTTCAGATCTGAAAATTTACATTTCAGGTCAAAATTTCAGATCTGAAATTTTGAAAGATCTCAATAAGGACTATCAGATCTGAGAACCAATTTATCTGAAGACTAACAAATTTCAGATCTTGTAGAGATAACCCACTAGTTGCGGGTTCCATCAGAACCAAATTGAATCGTTTTTCTACATTTTCGTCTGATCAAATTTGATCAATACCCAAGTATCTCCCTGATATAATTTCCATGTACTTCTCGTTGTAATTTGAAGCGTTGAGTTTTTGTTTTTTGGGAGTAGAAATAATGTAGCCTTATATCAAAAGGAAAATGCGAAATTGGTGTTTGTAAGAGAGAACTTTCTTTGATCTAGGAAATTTTGTCCGGTAAATTTTGTCTGAATTCTCCTAGGCTTGTTTTAAGTAGGTTTTTTCAGAAAGCTGAGTTTTAGTGTTCAATACAATCCTCAATTGGGGCAGTACAACAGTGCCGAAGTACAACAGTGCCGAAAATGAAAACTTTGTTCAACAGTGCCGAAAATTTGATTAAATTTCAACATATTAAGTTCGGCAATCAAAAATTAAACAGCGATCGTTTACAATCTTAAGTAAAACTTTAAGATTTTGAGCGAGAAAATTTGCAATTGAGACGTTTTGGCCCCAAAATAATTGTTTAATTTGCAGTTACAGACATATACATATTGGCGCCAAAATTGGAGTGATTTTCTTTGATAATTAGCGTCAGTAATTTCTCGCTCTTTAGAAAATGCGTGTAAACTGTTCTGAAATTTTCCCGCCTTTTTCGGCACTGTTGTACTTCGGCACGGTTGAACGCCCCCTCCTCAATTATAGGAACACTGTTTTATTCTTCAATGCTGTAATACGTGGAGGGTTCTCATGCTTGAAGGACCGAATGCTTGAAAAATTTCAACCAATCAAAATCGCTAAGCGTTTCTATTGGCTAAATGCCTTTCTCACTATATCGAAGTCAATATTAACGGAAAATGTATCAAATCAGTGGAAAATAATCAAAAAATATTACAAATTGCGGGTTACAACCGCATTACTATTCAGATAAATCATCAAGATTAATGAGTTCAAAATCATAAGAATTTTTTAGTCTTGAAATTCATCTGCTTATTATCTAATTGGTCATTATTAACACTAATGGCCTGGATTTATTTTCTTACTTTGAGGTTTTTGCGATTTATTTTTAGATTTTGAATACTCAACTCTGATTGGCTGAAAGTAAGCTAAAATTAATTTCAAGCATTCGGTCCTTCAAGCATGAGGGACGCCACCCTGTAATACAGCAAAACACTAGCTTTTGATTGGTTGAAATTTTGATGTATCTAAATGTATCTAAATTACCAAAACTGATATCTATAAAATCCAGAAAAACACCCAATCAGGCTAGTTATAAATATTATTTTGCTCAATGACTGGTAATGAAGTATTTAGATACATCGAAGTTTCAACCAATCAAAAGCTAGTGTTTTGCTGCATTACAGCATAACTATAACTTTGGAGATTCGGCAATGTTAATTCCGGTACTCTGCAAATATCAGGCTCAAATATGTCCTTCTTTGCGCTAAGGAATTAGAATTGGACCATGAAGACATTTGGTATAACTTAGATTTTTTGAAAAAATAAAATAGCCACTTTGGTCAGGATCATTAATTTTCTTACTGCTCTCGTAGTAATAGGAGTAGCTGTCGCTGTAGGGAGCTATAAAACATCAGAGTTTTCAGGGCAGTAACTGTATTAAACTGAACGTAAATTGTTGCGATTAAGATTTTTTCAGACAGTTTTCATTTTTGTGAAGAGATAAGGTGAATAGAAAACCCTATCAGGGGCGGATTTAGGGGAAGGGGGCGGACGCCCTCCCCTCTGCCGACCCAAAGGGTCCCCCTTTGGACTTTTTAAGAAATCCATTTTTGGCCGACCGACCCTAAAGTTTTTCTAAAGGCGCCGTGGGCGCCAATATATACTAACTTTGAGGGGGAGCGCGGGCCAAAAAAAACTTAGAAAGTTTGGTCTATCTATCTTTATAGTGCTTTAGGAGAACTCGGAAAAAGGTCGTCGAAATTTATTGAAAACCTCCCCCCCCCCCTTCCCCCCTCGAGAAAGTCCTAGATCCGTCCTGAAACTTATCATTAAAGAAAATTAGGTCAGAAGATATTCCCATCAAAAAAATTACCAATAATACTTTTTCATAAAACTCAATTTTGTAGACCACTTTTCTGTAAATCAAAGATTTCTATTCTCAATTTGAGAAGCCATGCTGAACAAAACCTCGTCACAATTCGATGCATACCCGGGTCGAGATCCCGCTCAAAAACCGCGCAAGATTTGAACGGTTTTGAGCGGTTTATCTAAAAAAAAAACGCTCAAAAACCGCTCAAATCGCTCCTTTTGAAGCAAAACTTCGAGCGCAATTGTCTAAAAAAACTACTCAAACCGCTCAAACCTTGTTTCAAATTAGGTGAAAAACCTCGACTCGGGATACTTTAAAAATCTTTTATGGCATCATTGACTTCTTAAACGAAAGAAAGCTAACTGTTCTGATTGATAATACTTCGAAGAATACCCCCTCTCCTAAGTAGTATACTGTCTTTTTTTACACGATTAATGGAGTCAGAAGGAGTGAAATATCTTACGATAGTCGTAATAATGAGAGTCTGCGTGTGCAATTGCAGGCCAAACTGCATCTGCTGTAAGTGAGAACGAGTACTGTTCATAGATCGTTGCGATGGACTCAGAGAAATTCATGAATGTGTCGTTATAATCATTGTAAAGTATTGTAGCTGTGATCTCAAGTGATCCGGCATTGATGAAAGAGCTCTTATACTCGACTTGATTTCGGAATCCAGTTGTGTTGATGAGATAATGAACCAATTTGTGCATTTGCAACTGCAGGAAAAGCGACCCCGTGCTGTTCGTGTCGATGAGCAAGTTGTGGTCGAATGATAGTCCTTAAACAATCAAATGGCTCACCAAAATTTTTTAATTGGCACAAATTTCTAAATCCAAGATTTTCAACTTGCAAAACTTAGTTAAATATTCTTGCTGTATACAGAAATTAATGGCAGCTAACTTTACGGCCCTAATGTGTTCGTATTGACGAGAAAAAAATAATAAACTTCAATGTCCGGGTTGACCTCAATACAAAAAAATGCTTATCATACAATTCCATACAAAAAGATGATTATCATACAATTCCATGCATGAGCTCTGTGGAAAAAGTAGTTATCATAGGATTTCCATCTATGAAAAGTGTTTGACAAGCATTTTTTTCACTGAATTTTTTTTCAGGAAACCCTTTTAAAAAAGTTTTTTGGTAAGTTTAAATGAGCTTGATTCGTTTTCTGATTAAATTAGATCAAATTGGCCCATTTTTCATTTTTTTGACAAAAAATGTTCATCATACGGTTTCCATTTTATGAAAATGGTATGATAGACTTTTTTTCCATAATCAAATTTTTTGTTCAAAAACTTTTCACAAAAGCTCAAGAGCTCAACCCGACTGCTCAAGAGGAGCTCATTTTTCTGAAATTTGATAAAATTTCGTTGAGAAATGCTCTTTTTTCTCCTACCAGTCAGTCCAGCTATTATCAATAACTTTTTCTTCTAGGACTGATAAGTCGTCGAGTATTTTTTTTGCATTGACTTAGTTGCAGTTCCATTTAAAAGATTGTAAGCTGAGGTTTCCTACAAAATCCCGTTTTTTCAAAAACCAAATTAAAAAATTGTTTCAGACTATCCAAAATTTTGCGAATTTGACATTTGTTCCTCCCTAATGCTTAGAAAACTTTTTGCTAAATAAAAAGAAGCTAATTACGCAATGTTGACTATAAGGGTTTGAAAATGACAGCTCAGTCTATAAAAGCTTAGATGGCCGAATTTTTTGATAGAAGAAACTTTTTTCTTGAAATATGCTTTTTTGAGTCAACAGCAAGGCAGGAAATTTGCTTTCATTGCCGAGTTCTTCTAAAAGTTTTTTTTTGTCAGAAGCTTCTTTCTTTTCAATGATTTCACCTCAACATGAAATCTTTGATAATGAGATTTAGAAATTATTGTATGCAATGCAGAATAAAAACATCTGAATAGGATCTAAAAATTCGTCCGTTAAGTTTTTTATCATACCATTCCATTGAATGGAAAAAAAATCATTATCATACAATTGCAATGAATAGAAAAATGCCTATCATACAAATCAATTGTATGGAAATTGGTTATCTTGTGTTTTTCATACAATTTTTTGTATGAAATTGTATGGATTCGTATGATAAGTATTTTTTGTCATCCCGGGTGTGTTTTTTTTTAAATCTAATTTACAGGGCTGATAATCATATGGATCTATTATGGATAAAGAATCATATAGATCTATTGTCGGAAACATATTTCCCTCTTGATAAATAAGGTAATTATACCGCTGAAGTTGGACGCTCGGATGAACACAACTCCTTCGCCCCCTTTTTCAACTCCAGGACCCATCATACACACTGTGTTTTGGACACACTTTTCCACTTGAATTGCTTCTCCCATGCACAAACTGCTTCTTAAAGTTAAGTAACATTTAAAGTGCAAGAAGTTATCATAGATCAATTGAGCAAACCCAAAGCCCTCACCAACAAGACCGGGCGTGGGGGGGGGGGGGGGGTGGGGAGGGGGGGGGGGGAGATAGCTTTATAGGTTTTTGAGGCATGCTGTATGTTTATAACCACCTGGAAATAGATTGAATGTTTTGAAATCATGAGCCAGATTCTTCAACGGATATGGAACACCGTTAGCTAATTTTATTGTTATTTGCTCGTCTTGGAGAAGGTCAAGAAAGTACCTGAGAAAAATAGTCCGCATAACTTCAACAGCTCTTCACTCTAAATTGGTCGAAGAAAAAAAATTCCAAACTATTTTCTCAACACTGAGAAAAGGAATTGAAAGATTACACACTCAGACGAAATTGTTCTTCGCAAACTAAAGCAAAAAAAAGGGCAAAAAAAAGTTCTGGAAATTTTTTTCGAAAAAAAAAGAGCAAAAAACAACGGTAACTGTAATGAAAAATCTGATATATACCGGAATTGAATCCGACCACAAGATTAAGAATAATCCGCATCGGCAAAACTAAGATTGCAATCGATTATTGCAAGTGAAATCTACAGTTCAGCAAGCTAATTTAATTTTATGCAAATAATAATGGATTTTTTTGACTATACTTATTTTAATCGAGTCGATAGTGACCAAAATCATTTTTAAGTGCTTTTTTGGTACAGATTATATACAGATTTTATACAGATTATATACACAATTTATACAGACTACAAACCCTATAAAATCCATTGTAATTTCGTTTAAATTTTTATAGAAAAAAATCGAAATTGAGAAAAAGTATTGTTACGTGTCTTGTTTTAATGAAAATGACCAAAATCAATAAAAACAGCTTAAAACCCTCAAAATAAAACCAAAACTGATAGTTTTTTTTGATAAAAGGAGAATATGGGTGAATTTTAGTTTTTTCTACTAAATTATGATTGTTTGGTTTGTGAGTTGGTGTTCGTTGTGGGGGGATAAAATCGAAAAAACTAAAAAACAAAACGATTTTTGTCCAAAAATGGAAAGGAAAACCCCAGTATCTTCTTAATTTTTTTTGTTTTCTATATTTTCTCGAGTCGAAATAGGTTCCCTGAGACGCGTCCTTTGTTTTAAATTGCACTAAACAATGTAGTGGTCTCGTTCAGCCACGATTGTGAACCATGTTTTTAGGCCTCAGACACGATTTTTTTCTCTTAAGAAGTTGCAATTTTCGATCCCCCCAGTTCAGCAGAATTGAAATCTGATGACTTCGATTTTTCTTCTTGGCTTTTTATTGATATGATTCACAATGGTAGCTGAACAAGATGGTTTTCCATGTAACTATCATTTCATTTCAGTAAGAAGTAAGACGATCCCAAGCGTTTCAGTGAAACTGGTCCGAAATGGCTCGAAATCTGATTTAAATAGATGATTTTCTAAATTTTTGAAAAAATCTGAAAAAATCAGTTTTATATTGACCATTTTTTTCATTGGTTACATATGTTTTTGCCTAAGGTCTGAATTACAATGATGATTTTTTATGATTTCATTGCATAATTTCGAGCTCAAAATCTGGTTTATATTGGCAGTTTTCTTGAATCGTTACAAATGTGTTTGCCCAAAATCTGATTTACGATGATGATTTTCTATATTTTGCTGCATTTTATTGAGCTCAAATATTGATTTTAGCGACCTTCTACCCTATTTAATACGTTGTTTTTTGCCCAATACCTGATTTACATTGATAGTTTTTTAATATTTTAATTGCATATGATAGAGCTCGAAATCTGATTTATATTGACCATTTTCTTCATTTGTTACATATGCTTTTGCCCAAAATTTTGTTTGAATTGTGGATTTTCATGATTTTATTGCATATTTTTGTGATCGAATCTTGTTTATATCGATGATTTTCTTGAATTTGTGTCGTTTAGTTTGAATTAATTTTTGTTTTTTTCTTAGTTTTCAAACTGTTTGCTACTAAGAGTTAAAAAATCAATTTTTTATACAAAATAATAGATTTTTGTGGGTCTTAAGAAAATGTATTACAATCGATTATAATCGATTTTATACAGATTCTATACAGATTATATACCGCAAAAAAATCCATTTTCTAGACTATAAAATTGATTTTTCTGAACTGTATAAAATCCCTTTATTATCCATTTTAGAGTTTAATTGGGTTACTTGAAATAGACTTTTTACTAGTAAGAAATCTGTATAAAAATCGATTATAATCGATTGCCATCTTGTTTTTGCCAATGCGGGAACTTTTTTCATCACATGAGCTAGAAGGTCATCGGAACCAGAAACAAATGTACAATGCAAATACAAAAAAAAAACAGATATAATGCTATTGCTGCAGAAGTGCCACCAAATAAAAAGTTACTTGCAATTTTGGTTAGAAGACTCCAATTGTGTCCATTTGAATCAAAAGCAATTAAATGGGCTTTAAGATGATAAATCATTCCTATCTTTACGACGCGTCTGTGATTCACGAATATGTGGGAAAAAAAACGAATCAAATTCGATTACAATGTGAAACGATTTGGGTTAGAAAATTCCACTTGTATCAATTTGGACCAAAATTCAATTATATGGGCTTTAATATGATAAATCGTTCTTATCTTTTCGACGCGTCTGTGATTCACGATTATGTCTGAAAAAACAAAACGAACTCGAATACAAAGAATGAGACATATGTATGGTTACAACAAGCGGTTGCAGAATCCCAAAATAAAAACGGAATCCGCAAGCTGTAAGCCGAATCCGTAAATTGTAAGTGGAACCCGCAAACTGTAAGTGAAATCCGCATTTTGATTGCGGATTACACTTTATTTATTAGCATAAATGTAGTAGCGTTTTAATTTATATCTTTTGCTTACTAGGTGCCTAGGTGGTCACCAGCAAGTTCAATCTCAATTATAAAGTTGATCAGCTACCAGTTGGAAAACCAAATTTTCAATCTCAATACCTGCCCTTAACTTCGATCTCAACTCCTGTCAAACGCCCAGCTTCGATCTTAAATCATGTCAAACACCTTACTTCGATCTCAGTTCCATCGATCTCGATTCCAGTTATTTCATCATCGAGCCAACGCATCCTTTTTTGTCGGAGAACCTAAAAGCTAGTCTGATCTAATTGAGAAGCCATATGCTCCATGACGCCATCCAGATAACTTCCTAGTTGATTTTAAAAAGAGATAAGGTAAAAATTCAAAAAAATTATTATGCCCTACCACTAGCCAGAAACATATTTGGACGAAGAGCAATCATGATGACTCAGTACTCCATATATCTAGAGATATAGAAAATACTTTTCTAGACCATGAAATTAAAATATTCAAGGAGTGAGTAAAAAGTTAAAGAAAAAGTTCAAATTTTGATTTTTGACTAAATTTTTGCAACCCTATATCATTTCAACTATAAGTGTGACATAACCAATTTGTAGATGACTGAAGCCAATTATATGACTACTTGAGCCATGTAGAAAAAGCAAACTTTCATATGTAACACATTTATACTTTCAGGACACTGAGCAAGGTATAAAAAAACTTAAGGACACTGAAAAAAACCAGGCATCAAAAATGGAACGTACCAACCATCAAACGTGAAACTCTGACCTACTCTAGAGTGTTTACTTTTCAATTTTAAGTTTTATTTGTTGTTTTCTCAATTATTGTTGCCTCAATTACGTTTGCTTCAATTAGCGTTTGTCTAATATTGCCGCATCCGATACCTAACCTGTTAGTCATAATAACTACTGTTTGTATGCCCAACTGAAAAGACACGGAATCAATCTGATTGAACATATCATAGCGTTCATTCAGTATTGCTTGCGTTATGGTGTTTTTAAGGCAGAAATGTTTTTTAATTAATACACATTTTATTTTTCGATTTCTCCAACTTTAATTTTTCACACATATATATCACTTTAAAGGACATTCGCTGTTATAATTTGTCCTCTCCACAAAAAATGGAAATACTTTGATAGAGTGGTCCATTTAAAATGACTAAGTCCCTTGAGAATAAAACAATTAAAACTCTGAAATTGTTTAATAAATTGTGAGTTAGCCATTCAGAAAGATTCAGTCGCATCATACTTTCAAACCAATTTTTTTATTCGTTTTTCCTGGAACCTGCCTTCTCATAGTTTTTTGAGGTGAATAATTAGAAAAAAACACCAAAATTGGGTTTTGATTGAAGTAAATTAGGCCAATTATGGACAATAAAGCGTAAAACAAGTTGAAGGTGGCCTGTTTCTTGATATAAACCATCTAATTATTACAATTTTCACTCTGAAAATTTTCTGACTCATAAATTTTGCGAGTTTTTTTAAATGAATAACTTAAAAACAAAATAGTTATCAAACTATTACATGATATACGCATGCGGGACCTGTCTATCATAAATGCTTATACGAGTAACCACTCTATCATAGGCTGGGTGTGCTTTCATCTCATCTCAAATACTGCCCCCATGATTTAATTTGACTATGGACCCATCTCAAATACTGCTCTCATGATTTGACTTCACTTTATCATCTGATCCCAAACACTGCCCTTATAATTTGAATTTACTCTCCACCAACTAGATCAGTATTTGTGATGGATGGAGTCCCAAATACAGACCTAATTCGGTGAAATGCTTTCCGTTGTATTTCCAAACACTGTCAACCCATTAACTTCAAATAATGATTCTATTCGGTGTTGTGTTTCCAAATCTATGATCTCGAAATTTTTTTGCTGGGATATGTATCCAAAACAGAAAAGCGTGACATCCACTTAAGATTTGTTTGTGGATTCCGATGATAATGGTTAAATCCTTGCTATCAATTCCCGAATTGCTATAGTTAAAACTTCCAGCTGTAGCTTTTAATTGTTCATATGCAAGTTCAGTAACAAACACAGTTTAGAATCCACTCTCAGTTTGCGGAATTCGCTTATATTTCCACTTACATTTGCGTATTCCACTAAATTTTGAGGAATCCAAAACGAATAGCTGACGAAATCAAACTTTAAGACTTTTGCTGAAAAAAAATCGTCAGAAACTATACAAGTGAAAATCATTTCGTTTTTAACGCTCAAACAGGTCGAACAGAAAAGGAAATTAGATCAAAATGAAATTTGGAGGTTCTTTTGAGGTTCTTGTGAGAAGTATATCAAGTTTACCTGATGCATTCCCTTTCTCGTGACCGGAGACCTTGTCCGGAACAGTTTGATTGGCAGCTGGACCAGGGACTCCATTCGGACCAGGAGTCAGTGCTGCTCATGACTAAAAACAGATCAAATATGTCAGCTACTGCCAGTTTTAATTCTCAGTTAATTTAGTTCAGTTGGAGCTAAAAATTAGAGATACTAGCAAAAATTGTGAATCATCTTTGAATTTACTTTTTTCGGACAAGTAAAAAAATGTTTCAAGAATTAAATCTTGCTTGGGTGTATTTTATCTGGGGCGGTCGATGAAAATTCATCAAATCTGGGCGGGGCCCTTTAATTCTTGCTGAAATACAGCTCCAAAACTCAATTTAAATCAACTTTAGCTGCAATGAATTATTATAAAAGAACATATTTTAGGCAATTTCAGACTGGACTAAGGGATGGCGTAAAAAACTGAACAATAGCCAAGGGTTGGTGATATCGTTTGCAGTTAAGTAATTTCAAATTTAATTACTTTCAATATTAGCTTCAAAGTTACACTTGAGGAAACATCAGGAATTTTTGATTTTTGCTGAAATACTATCTACTATCTTTGAACTTATGAAAAGGTTAAATAACCAACTGGAGAAGACGTTTAGTTCGCACACGACAGCGCTGGCAGACGGTGGGGGGTCGGAAGATTGCGAGGATTCACAGGGAACAACAGTGGATTCCCCGAACGACAAAAAGGAACACTGCCCCTCATCAAGCGATAAGTCATGCACATATGTCGACCTATTGCCAAGCGACTCCATCCAACTCAAGATTTTATCCTAAAAAAGGACATACTTTCTAAATTGTAAAATATTTGTGATAAAATTAGAACATGGGATTAATTTAATATGTAACAATTTACACATACACTAATATAAGTTCCAGGGTTGATCTCGAAAAAATGCTCATCGTACAATTACATTATTTACGGAAACATGCTGGTCAATATTATTTATTATATAATATGCAATGAATTTTTTTGAAATATCGTCCATTCAAACTTCCTTTTGATCACCAAAAACCAACAACTTGCATTCCATTATACCAATTTGCCATTTACAGAACTCGTCATATAAAAGTCACCTAGTAGTAGAAGGCGAAGTCCAATTTTGATAAACAAGTTGTCAAACTGTAAAAAAAAGTATACGTTCCGGTTTGATAACGCTCGATAATCGTAAGTGTAAGCAACAGAACTATGTTCTTACTATTGTATTGTGGCCGAACTCGGTATCCGGAACCTGGACTAGAGTGGAGTTTGGCATCTGCTGTGCACAGAATGCCTCGGATGCCCTTTTGTATAGTCCAGGAAAAGCCCAAGGTCCGAAGAGTCCAAAGGAGTAGCATCTATCCCCATCCCTCACAAAAGGCGAAGGACAAAATGGACCTGAAATCAAATCTACTGTCACTGCAAGCTATTTTATTCTGGGTTCTTTTATTCTTCTTCTGCTTATTTTCAGTTCACTTAATTAACTTAAGCTCACAACTAGAGACTAAGTGCTCGACTTGAGTTTCAACTGAAAGGTCAGGGTATGGCCGAATGCAAAGAAATGGCTGCACGTGATCTTATAAGAAAGTCTCAGAAACGAAAAGGTCAAAAATAACAAATTCAATTTTAAAAAATTGGATTAAAATACTAATAATAATAATAAATTGTTTCCAAACGATATCTAGTTACAAAGTTATTTATAAAAATTTATAAATACAAATTAGAATCGTTTGGGAGAACACCATTAAGCCAACAAGGCCCGTTTTCAGGTGTCTCATATTTTTTTCTAATTTTTTTACAGAGTTTTTTTACAATTTTTGTATGAGACATCCATGCTGAAAAACATATTCAAAATGATTCAAATATTTTCCCTTCTCGATAATGTTTTCGAAACTGCATTAACTAACTGTACAGACTCTGAGCAAGTTTTTTTGGTCGAAACATAGTCATTGAAAGCCGATTTGCTCAAAACATGGTTTTTTGTCAAACAGTTGCACTTTTACTTTGGTAGAATCGGCCAAAATTAAACCAGATTTTTTGTTCCGTCCATTGAAATCAGGGAGGAACTTTGTATTTGCAAGTTTTAGCTTTTTCCTTTTTTTGTTTTCCACGTAAAAACAGGAACCGCAAATAATCATCGGATTAGGTCGAATACCAATTTGAAGCTCTTTTAGTCGTGATTCAAACGAACTTGAAAAATTCTCCAAAGCTTAGAAAACTACTACAAAGCTTACAAAAACCCAATTTTACTACGACAATTTTTCAGATGTTTAATTTAGCAAAAAGGTTTTTTAAAAAAATACATTGAAAATTATTGTAAAAAAAATTAGAACAAAAATTATGTTTTTAATTTTTGTTTGTCATTCATTTCTTAAAGACAAATTTTCTCGATTATTCACTAAGTTTTACGCGTTTGTATAGCTTTTGAATCACAGCACGCATTCAAAACGACACTAATTGAAAAAAAATAAAAAACAGCTATCCTTATTGTATAAAAGCACACAGTAAAAATTCAGCAGTTCCATTTTTTTACGCCATGAGGGATGTTTTTGACCAATTGAGCAATAAAGTTTTCAACATTACAAGATCTGTTGTGGATGTTTTCCTTTTTCGCCGGGTTGAATTCCCACCGTTAAATATCGCTTTTTCTGTAGTATCTCAGTGATCGCTATTTTCCAGCGCTGATTCATGTATATTTCAGAGTTTTTTGCATAGCTAAAACTGCGATATTTCAAAGCTATTTCAGTAATGATTCCTTAAAAAATCATCGTTAAAACTTGAGAAATTTTAATTCATTCTAGTAGCTTGGAAATAATAGTTTTATTTGATCAGCCCTTTAACTTGACTGACTTTATCTAAGGCTTGATGGCGCAAAGGTAGCACATATATCTACAAAGCTGGTGGTTGCCTGAGCGAACAACGGTAGGTCACTACTTTTGCTCATTTTTATAGGTTTTTTTTATAGATGTTTCATCGCTGAAAATTAGCCAAATTAGGGATAATTTATTGAAAAATTTTTTCTATCGTGGCAATGAACATCAATAATTCATCGATGTCGATCGTTGTTTTTTTTCACTTTTTGTCGCTAATTTTTAATATGAGCTCAACCTGGGTCCACTCTTGCAACGTTTTACAGAGGTTTTTTTTCACGTTGTCAGATTGGTATAAAAATTGACATGCTGTGAAATAACTAGTATGGAAAACATATTTGGCTTTTACTCCTAACCTTTTAAAACCCCTCGTTACACCATAAACTTCTGCATATGCGAGGTGAGGGGATGAAATAAAAGATTCCTGTTTTCAATGAATATTCTCTTTTCAGATAGTCTTTTTTTGATTTCGAATTAATTTTTATGATAATTGTTCTTAAAAAGCTGATTTTCTAATTAATTCTTAATGAAACCATAGCAGTCCGCGAAAAAAAGTGTTTGCAATGTTTTTCTACTGCTTTCAGACTTTCATTTTAAAGCACTTTCAGCTGTGATTCGAACGACAGAAAAAATTCAAAAAGCTTTCTAGTGTCGATGACTGTAGATCACATTCCGGTCACACTTCAATGACTATAATATAGTACCTGATTTTGCCTAGAAAAAAAACACACCCGAATACAATTTTCCTCCCAATTTTTTAAATGGTTGTAACATCAACGAAATCGACGTTAATTAGGACCAGGTGACAGGTAGTAGACTTCAATTGGTACTCTGCAGCTCGACTGATACGTGCTGCGTACTAATCAGTACCTAGACATGAGCTGTTCGTAAAAAAGGCCTGCTGGTTATCGGTGCAGAGCGCTGATGTCCGCAATCGAAGCCCGCACACCGCCATGCTACTTGGGTAAAATTTCAACTACTTATTATCGCTTGATATAACTAGTTGTGCTCTGCGAATAGTTGCTGCTCCTTCTTTAGTATACCAAGTATCGCGTTGTCGGCCCCCCGAGTAAGTTAGTAAGCTATATATCTTCTATAAACCGATAATTCGATTTAATTTTCTGCCTTTTTTATGAAGGGAAAATGGCCGTTTGTGAGAATCGTATGTATTATTTTGCACAGCAACCAGCTGTTTTCGTATGTTTAAGCAATTCAAGTTTTGACGTCTTTTTTATTGAGAACGTATACTAACGAGTGCAGTTGTAAACAACTTCCACAGTACGCGGCAACTTTGGTGTCACGTGACTACAGGGTTCCCGGAAGCCACTTGTGTTGATGATGCATTGAGATTTGGCGTAACACTGAGCATACACGTCTGCTGATACTGAATTAGATTCGCAGTTGAGAACTGTTTCATTGGTACATGAACTGCCCTGGAAGAAACCGTACCGCGTGAACACGGGAAATATCAAGAGGTCTTCTTGGTCTTCGAAGTTTTCGGTAGCGCAATTGATTCTTCGAAGATCTGGATTGGACTCGGGAAGGCAGATTTGGAGGGTGGGCTGACCTGAAAGAAAAAACTAAAGGTCACTTTTGAACAACTGACATCAAAAGTTATATCATTTTTGGATAACTGACATCCAAAATTGTATCAAAACTTGTATCGGACTCATTGTATGTTTTTTCCTCCAAGTCCCCACAATGCGAAGAGCGACCCCGCTACATTTTTTTCTACGAGAGTCGACAACGTGGTTATTTCGATTAACGGATGCCCATTGTTTGCTACGGATAAGATCATAATTTACCAATAAGTTTTGAAACTTTTCCTCAAGCATGTGAGTATATATAGGTATTTCAAGTAGATACATGAAAAAAGTATATTATTTAAAACAGAAGCAAATTAGGGGGGTTCGATCTCCTCGCCACTCAAAGGTTTCATTTTTGGTACCAAATTACGACAGCCAATTTCGGCCAAACGACTAAATTTCTAAAAAGAGCTGGAAAAATAATTACTAATTTAAAGGAAGATAGCGCGACAAAAAAGCGCGAAATTTTGGTTGCAACTTTCCAAAACTGCCCAAAACAAACACTTTTGCTTTATTAATCACAAATTAAAATATTCTCTCTAACTCCACGAGAAAATTATCGATCCAACCTTGACATGAACTTCATCGGATACAGAATTGAATGAAGTAGGTGTGCAGATTATTCATAAGAGTCCTTGAGAAGAAAAACATGAAAACTACAAGAAATAAAATAATACGAGAAGGCCTTGTACGTATTTTAACAGCAATTACGTAATTATTACGTATTTCTTACCTAATTATAATGCAAAAGCTTAACACTTACTGCTGTCTCGGCAGACGACTCCGACATCTTCCGAGTGGAAACAGTTGGATTCGGTCCACCCGTTGAACACACACTCCCCTATCCTACTCTCCGCTCCCCCACAATTCACATTGTCCATCATTACCACCCCCGACCCAGGGTCACTCCCACCCACAGTTGTGAAGTACAGGGCACCCTGTTCACTGAAATGTGAGAGTAAAAATATAGCTGCAGTTTTCAACTTTGTTAAAACGAGAATTATTCCAAACTAACTCGATTTAACTTATGGCGATCGACCAAATCGCAGCTAGTTAGAATAAGGGGTCTTTCTGAATGTTGCTAAGACTTTCCTATTCTTATTCAACAGACAAAGTTTCTTTCACTCGTAAATAAGTTTATTATTTCAAATATAGGAGACACACATCAAGTATAGAACATGATAGTGATGGTGATGGTTATGGTTATAGAAATCGGTATGTTTTGGTATATTTTCGCTTGGCTTATATTTTCAACATTCCATCTGTTGGTTAAACCAATCAGAAAGAGACAACATATGCCGTAATGTTTGCTTTGGTGATATTTTATGAACCGAGCAAACACATAACTTCAAGCTGGCATATGGTAAAAATTTAAGAATTGTGTTTCTGATTTCAATTCAGAACAGATAGCGAAAAAAACAGCTGTAAAATTGAACTAAAAGATTGTAGTTATTCAATTTTTTCAAATCAATAATGTAAACCTCCATTAAAAAAAAAACTCTGTTTTTTTCACTTTCAACTGTTTTATAGCGCACGAGGCAAGCCAGAAAAGACTATTGAAGAAACTTCTCTTCTAAAATTTAGTGGCTTTGTCGCTGCCTAGAAATAAAAATCAGCCATACAAGTTAAGGTTAACATTTTCACGCAGAAATATACACAAAAAGCGTAATTTTTCGTATACAGCTAGAAAGTTTCATTTAGAAAATTTCATTGGTTGCGAAAAGAGGTCTGTTTAATTACAAATTTATGTATATCCTTGCATCTGCAAACAAAAAAATCAATTGTGTTTTTAAAAAAACGTTTGAATAAAATGTATATTCGAGCACAAAAGCTAGATATCAACCAAAAAAGGAAAAAAAATTACCTCGAAGTTGTGTTTTTTTTTCTATTTCATATAATTCATTGTATGATAAGCATTTTTCTCTTCGAAAAAACTTTTTTTGATGCCAAAGTCGACACCAAGTTGTTTTGTATGAGTTTAAAACAGATGTAAGATACAAAAATTTTCGGATGAAAAAAAAGCTTGTCATACCATTTTTTTCAATGAAAACTGTATGATAAGCATTTTTCCATAGACTCCATATATGAAATTGTATGATAAGCATTTTTTGTTGGGTTGTAACACCGGGCAAGCAGTAATTTCCGTCTTTCACCGGAAAAATTTAGGAAAATCTGGCACGCTTCTTTGACTGGAACAAAAGCAATTGGTAATGTCGGCCTACCTATCATCCTACTGTGATCATATTTAACGCAGCAAAATGGCTGATGCATAAAACCTTTGTGACTTGAGTTTGTTCAAGTTCGTGCGCTCTGCTACTGCTGATGATCGGTTGGACCGGCGAAACTGTTCAATAAAAACCGATGAAGTTTTAGAGCTCTTTAAAGCAGCACTTGAAGAGAGATCGACACATGACAACTGTTGGAGCATGTTTGTTCATAATTGATATCCTCATCACTGGTGTTTCCTGCGATATACGAGTCTGCTCTATCACACGAAGTGAGGTTCGATGAATAAAAATCTGTTATAATCAATTTTCGTGGTCAAAACTGTTGCCATTATAATCGATTGTAATTACACTTTGGGACCACACAATTGATTAAAATCCATTATAAACCATTATTTTCCCGGGTTGACCAAAAATGCTAGTCATAAAAATTTCATTTATGGAAAAATGTTAAACATACACTTTTCATGCAAGTCCCTAAGTACAAAAAATTGCATGAAAGTTCTATGATTAGTGATTTTTCATTCATGGAAATTGTATAACTTACATAATTTAATTTCTTAAAAAGTTTGGGATGTGTTTGTGAACGAACGCAAACAACAAAAACCATGGTTTACTCAAAATTAGAGTCACCAAAGGTTTGATCGAATTGCAGTACATTGAAAACGACCTGAATTGTAGAAGACTTTTCTCACACAAGTCATACACTGAACCCGCACCGGAGTTCCATGGATAAAAATCGACTATAATGGAAAACTGTTGTCTAAAATTTTGTCATTATAATCGATTATTTTCATAAAAGCACAATCCATCAAAATCCATTATAATGTATTATAATCCATTTAAAATCCTTTATAATTGATTATGACGGATTATAATTTTAACATTTTTTTGCAAAATCATTTGCAAAACTTGCAACATTTATGCGTTACTCACGGCCTACTCCCACTATGCCCCCAATCCGCATTTGTCCAAACCCCCACCCCATCACTCCCTACGCCCACATCCATATTTACTAAAGTTTAACCACCCCCCCCCCCCCCCAGTTTGTGTACCATTTTGAACGGGGACGGGAGAGGGAGGTTACTCAGTTGTTCCACCCTCACCCCCCATTTTTTACACCGCCCACGTTCAGTAAACGCAGTAAACGGGGGGGGGGGATAAAACTAATATGGGAGGGGGAGGGGTAAAATGAGTAGGGGTAAAGTGTGGGGGCATAAACCCCTTCCCCTAAAGTCTACCAACAAATAACCCCCATAAGAGGGGGCGATTGGCGGTTGTGGTAAAATAGCAGGGAGGTGGGGGGGGGGTTTAAACTGAGGGAGGTGTATACAGGGAGGAAAAGGGGGTAAACCGGGGGGGGGGGGGAGGGGTAAACAGGGCGGAGGGGTAAACAGGGGGGAGGGGGTGTAAACAGGGAGGAAAACGGGGTCTCTAAGAAAAAATATATAAAAATTGAAAGATGAAGTAAAAAATTTTGAGAAACCTAATACATAGCAACTGCATTAGAGAAAAACTTGTAAAACTCATAAAATTTGAGAAAAACTTGTAAATTTTATGACTAACCTCTCGAAAATCCATAATAATTGATTTTAAACGATTATAAGGGATTGTATTGGCATAAAAATATAAGAAATATTATCCATTTTTCATGGATTACATTGATATAAAAATACTAGTTTTATTATCCATTTTTGATGGATTAAAATCGATTTTTTTTTGTAATTTTAAAGATACTGACTATAAAATGACAATATAATCGATTATTATCCATAGAACTGCAGTGCGGGAAAGTATCAAATTTTTAAAATTTGGCAAACATTTTCAAAGATGATTATTTTCAAAACTTGATTTTTTAAATTATCAGACATTGATCAAGGCATATATAAACAAGGCATACATAAATACAAAACAAATAGGAGCTTATAGCGTTTTTGAAAAAGTTATCTAGAGAAACGGATAACACTCACATTTTTGTGTACCCAGGACTACGTTATGCACTCAAAAAATTAAATTTTGCATGTAATTTTTTTATAAAATGTTCCTTTGAGCACAAAATTCGATTTGCGGTTGAATAAAAAAATTTAGAAGCTTTTTCAAAATTACTTTGTCGCCATCAAAAAAATGCTGATCATACATGTTCCATATATGGAAAATGTATGATAAGTATTTTTTTCGACGAAATTTTTTTCTTTTTATGTTCATTACGATACAAGAGAAATATATGAAAGTTCGATTACAATATTTTAGCAAAATATATGAAAGTTGTATGATTAGTATTTTTTCATAGACTTATTTTATGGTATTTTGGTCTATGGAGGTCAACAACTCGGGTTAACGAAAATTAAATTGATCATAATCCATTAAAAATCCATTATGGAATGAAATCTCTATAATTTTTTCAAAATTATGCAAAGTTTGCTGCATTTTTTTTTATATTAACAGCCTAATCGATTAATAAACTTACTCACATTTCGTGAAAGTTAGCATAACTATATCCCTCACACTTTAAACTCAAACTTTCTCAATTTTAACACCCAAAATTTTACACCCACCCCCTACATTTATCCGCAGACCTAACCCCACCCCCGCCTCCGCCACCCCACATAACCATCCACTAAAACTCCCCCCTCCCCCCCAGAGGCATTGTTAGAAAATGTTACGGGTAATGATAAAACTCACTTTCTGTAAACTATTTAATTTATAAGTGCAAACGTTAGAAGTTTTTTTTGCACATTCTTATTGTTAATAGTTATGTGTTTTAAGTTATTAAGTGTTGTGAATAAACTCACTATCCCATTTGTCGACACACAACTTGTGCGTCTCTGATGTCGAATGAGTCATCACAAACCGTGCCCCATTGCCCCCCGTAGAACACCTCTACTCTCCCCCCGGAGTCAGAGTTGCCAGTGGCAGAAGTCTGCACTAGTCGCACGGTCCCATCCGCATACGCTGCAAACAAAACAAACAAGGATATCCGGTTGCAAAATCGCAACGCGATTGTTTGGTCAAAGTTTTCCAAAATCCAAAAAGTGTCCAAAAAAGACGTTTTTTGGACACTTTTTGGAAAGCTTTGACTAAAAAATCGCGTGACCAAAAAGTGTGACCAAAATTGCGGGATCAAAATTGCGCGACCAAAAATGTCCGAAAAACGTTTTTTATGGCCTGTTTTTTTTCAATGTTTTGCCTGCGGCACAAAAAATTCGGGCAAAAACAATGTCTTTTAGTATTTGGAGAGAGCTCGGAAATCAATTGGGTCGACCTAATAAAAGTTCTAGATCCGCCTGTGGAACAGATCACTTGAATTCTCGTGATACTGGGAAAGGATTTTTGGGTATAAAAACTCAGAATTCGACCAAGGTACTTTAAAGTTCCTGTTTTTGTATCACTATTTGGTAACTAGTGTGTTCGACAGAGAAAACTGGAATGAATATTGGATGTTTGTTTCAGAAATGCAGCGTTTAGTTGACTATTTGTTGTTTTTGTAAGGGTGCGTCTTAAATTGAATAGAACTATTAAGGGAGAAAATATACGTATACAAAATACGCACACGAGCCCTGAGGCTCAACGAAAACACGACGATCAATACCGAAAACACGATGATCAATATACTAACAAGTATGAAAAAATGATTTCATGTAAATCTGATATATCTATCAGAAAACATTTCTTAATAGTATACCTGTATTTACTAATTTCGCTTGTCTTTAACTGTTTTAAATTGTCAGGTACCAGTTTGTTTGAGGATAAAAAAATGTAAAATTATTTTATCCTCTATCTGAATGACCTAAGCAGCCCATTTGTTCTTATTAGTAAAAAGTGAATTTTTGATTCGCGAGCTGTTGTGCATCTCCTTTGTGAAAATTCAATTTCGTTTGGAAAACTGAGTGGAGATTTTTTATGTATTTGATCAAGAAAGATTTGGAAGACGGTTTTAATTTTGTATCACTAAATACTTGGCATCACGGCTCCGAACTTCCTTTTAAAAAACACAGTTCTTAATATCCGTTTTTGCATTACTCAAACTTTTTGGAGAACTTTTTTGTTGAACAGCCATATGCTAGTATGCCATACAAAATAACGAGCTCCGAAAAAACTTTCCTTGCTTGATGTATTAAACTATTAAAACGAGCTAATTTTTTTGCAAATAGTATCAACATGCTGATGAAGAGTCAAACTATTGTCTATTAAGGCGCTAAATTATTTGAAATGACCTACATGTTCCATTTTTTTTCCTCCGAGAGATACTTCGCATTTTTTTGTTTTCGGAACAAAATTAGCTGCCTGACATTTTTTTGTAATAATTGTTATTCTATTGGCTTTGCACCACAAGGCTACATTTTCAACTTTTCCTTTGTATTCTTGTACTGCGCTTAAATTTTTATTAGTACAAAATAACATTGTGTCATTAGCAGAAAGAAACATTTTTTGTTTTTTGATTTGAAAGGAAGGTCATTTATGTATAGTAGAAACAGCAGCGGCCGAAATACCTAGTCGAACACCGTGTTTTGTCTGTAGCATTTTCGAAGTCTTTCTATTTGAAGATACGTATTGATAACAATCAGTTAAACACAATTGTATTAGGTTGTATCACATGCCAAAAATACCATAGCTTTAAATCTTTCTCATCGGAATAGAATGATCGATAGTGTCAAACGCTTTTTGCAAATCTATAAAACAAGCCATTGCTATATTTTTCGAATCCTTGCATGATTGCATATTTTCTGTTGCTGTAATGATAGCGTGGATACACAAACAATTTCTCCTGAAACCAAATTAATCTGCTGCAAGGATGTTGAACTTATTAATAATTTTCAATAAACGATTTCGAAATTTATTTCAACTTTCCGTAGATCGACCAAATTAAATTTACGAGTTCTATTAAGCAAACAAGTTTCTGCGCCGAGGAAGAAAGCCCCTAAGTTCACTGGATTTCTATACTAATACACTCAAATAATTCAATCTTTTTACTGATTTAACGACATTGAGCTCGACAAAGATCACGTGAAAAGTTTCTATAACATGACACAACCTTTAAAAACTTCACTACGGTCGGCTAAACGTATAAACAAAAACAGCTTAACTAAAACTGATCGGAAATTTGCGAAGAATAATAGTCGAGACATTCTTAGTTGAGACATTTAAAGACGGATGCTCACTGGTTCCGCAGCTGATCCACGTGTAGTGTTCATTATCACACTGTACTTGTGATCCGACCGCACTGCAGTCCATCAAAGACATTTGATCCCTGCAGTCGATGTCGTTTTCAAATGGCAGATAGTTAGTGACGTCATAAGCTGAGGAGTTGGTGTCAGCAGACAGGGCATGAGTGTCGGGTTTGCTGAAATATTAAAAGCAATCCATGCATTTACTTTCCGTAATAATTTTTCACCCTCAATTGTCGAATAGGAAGAGTTCAGATGTAAAGCCAAAAGAATAATTGAAAAAAAGTTAAGTAAAAGAGTCATGTTAAAACACTATGGTTGCGACAAAAGAAATGAATCATTTTTTCTACTTTTACTCTAATTTCAACACAACTATGTTTATGCCGTGCACTTTTAGGTTATTCTGATTGGTTGTTTCTATTTTTTTAGATTAGTAAGTCTGCATGCCAATGCTTATAACAATCGGAACCTGCGTTTGCGAGCAAAAAAAGAGCCCAACAGCAATTAGGCTAAACCCGACCGCTTTAACCTAAAGATGATGTCGAAATCTCAACGCAGCTGGGTTGTTTTTTCAGAAAAGGACTGACCTGAAGCCCAACTCTCTGCAAATTAGTTCTGACTCGAAGGCAGTGTCGATGGAAGATACACAGATGGAGTTCCAGGAGTCCTCGTTGAACATCAGCAGGAGTCCCGACCTGGGAGAGGATCCCTCCAGTCGCAAATCACCGTGCAAGTGGGCTGGAAAATCAAAGCTATTAAAATTAAAGTTACCATAATATTAAAACATATTTTTTCCAATGATGTTCTAAAGATTGGTCGAATTAGGGGAAAAAAGTTTCAGAACGTGTTCTTAAACAAGAAACACTGATTTTGATGAATGATTCAATAATGATTGAGTTTTCAAACAGCAGTTATTACATACACAGCAAAAAAAAATGAAAAATTTAAACTAATTCAAGCATAATTGTTTCCTGGTAGATTTTTGTTTGTCAATAACGAAATTATTTTTTTGCTTCAAACAGCTGGTTTAGAAATTAAGTGGCATGTCGAATTAGCTTTATAACAAAAAGAACATCTGAGAGAACTGTATTCCAAAAAAACGGGCTTTTACGAACTTTCATTTTGTTTAGTTAATGCCAAACTGTACAGTTAATGTTGGCAATATTCCTCTCGGTACAACCTTAGTCGATAGACAAGAATTATCTTGCAAGATCTCACAAGATTCTTGCAACTTTTGTTTATCGTGCCAGATCTTGCAAGATTATCATTGTCTTGCAAGAGTCTTGACAATGTATGTTTATCTTGCAAGATTTTTGCAAAAATCTTGCTCGATTTTTGCAAGACAACCATTATCGCAATTTGCTTTTGAACGTCATTTTTTTTCTTTTAAGAAAGATGAGGTGTTGTTTCTAGCCGTAGTAGAGTATAAAATCTTAGAACCATGTAAATAATGTTGAAGGGACAATTTTAGCGTTCTTTAAAAATAAGTATATACCAGAGAAATAATCGTGAATAGACTGTCTAATATGTGTTTTTTAGATAATAGAAGGTTATTTACGGTTTATTTTTTTATAACAGTTTCTGAAAAAAGTAAGAAAACGCAAAAGAGTACTTGTTTTTAGTTGAGCATGGAAACTTCCATGATACTACTTGAAAATTCAACCGTCAAAGCGGTTGAACTATTCAAAATAGCTATGTATTAGAAAATGAGCACTTGATATGTTATTAGGCAGTTTTTCCTTAATAAAGTATTGTCTTTTCCTTTTAAAAACTTAAGTTAAACTTAGGGGAGGCACTTAGCACAGTGGTAAGGCGTTCACTATAGAATCGTCAGATCGTGTAATCGATCCCATGCCATGGCATTGATAGTGTGTGGGGAGGGACGAGCTCGCACTTGACCTCTAGCTTCAGTTCTACCACAACCTGACCAAATTTGGCTGCAATAGTGGTACCACGTGAAAGTTCTAGACGCACAAAAACGGCCTTGAGTCGCAAAAAAGAGCTTCGCTCAACAAAATAACCCAGTCTGGAATGTGGGGAGATAATACAAATGGACTATCATCGACAGGACTGATAAGGCCTACTGATAGCTCATCTGCGATTTGCAGGAACTGCAATTATTATTAAGTTAAAATGTGTGCGAGAACGACAATTTTTTAATATTTAACCAAAATATCTTCCTGTCTTGGTTCAATAACTAGCAAAATTGCCCGCCTGCGGTTTCAAATGTCAGGAATTGGAAACCCGCTGGACCCTCTTTTTGGCAAACTATGAGATTTAGCAAAGCATCTTTTTTCAGCTTGATTTGGCCTGGAAACCCGCCTTTTTTTAAAAATATTTCCCATAATGACCATTTTAAGTGCAGGTTTGCTTGAGTTTTTTTTTAATTAAAAAAACGTATCATAAATTTTCTTGCTTGCTAGTTTTGATATTTTCAGAGATTCGCATAGTCCTGATGTCTGTTTTTTTGTTTTTTTTTTCAATATAAAATTTAATTCTTGTTTTCATTTCTATCAAGCCGACAAAATTTGAGAAATTGGTAGCCTCGTTTCAAAAAATCGAGAAAAAAATACAATGAAACATAAAAACCGCTAGTGATGTCGCAGCTAGCGGGCTGTATGTATTTAGGGTTATCTAATAGATGCTTCCTTAGTACATGGCTTGCTATTTCAGTATTTCCGCGAATCTTAAGAACCTTGGTTCAAACCAGAAGTTTTTTTTGCAATATAACCATTGGCTATCGACTAAGGACGAATCTGAACGAAGTTCGTTAAGATACAACTAAGTTTTTTGGTGTCCAAAATCATTTTTTCACTCACCGCAGCGCAAAAAAATGTCAAAATCTGCTTAATGTAAAAAGTACCGCTTTTTGACCGGTTAAGATGCTCGAAGTCACTGAAATTGCCAACAATTTGGCATTAATTATTGATCTTTTTAGCTATATCCCCCTTTTGCAAAAGGGGGAATATTCGTTACGGTATAAAGTACTGATATGCGTAAGTATTGACTTATTTTTTTATAAGGGGGGATATTCGTTACTAGGTACCCAAGGGGGATATAGTTAAAGATGTCTAAGTATATATATATATTTTTTTGCAATTCTTCAAAATCTATTTTCCGCACCATCTATTCCATGGAAATTTTCAGAAACCTTGTGCTGAGAAATCGATGTGAAATCCCACTTTGGCCACAGCTGAGTCGGTGTGGAACTTAACAAAGACAGTTGAGGAGTAGAGGTGTGTGGATCTGAACATCTGGAGTCCACAGAACTTCTGGTCGAACATACCACTGCCACTGCTGGTTGAAGAGAGACCATCGCCGTACTCTATGATGCGAAGATAGTCTGATTGACAGCTGAAATAAGAAAAGGGCTATAGCAGAGTTTGGTTCTTTTTCCTTTTCCCCCACCTCTCATAAGCATCGATTTCATGGTGTAACGAGTGGTTTTACAAGGTTATTTATGAAGACCAAATTGTCATGGCCTAATCAGTGCGGATGCCAAATTTTGAAACAATCCGACTGTGAACAGAAAAATTACTCCAAAAATTTTCCAGGTGGGGGGAAGGAAAAAGAGCCCAGAGTTTGACAGCCGAGATGCTGATTGGATAAAAATAACACGTGGTTGCCAAATGTTTCCCTTGAACGATTATCTCCGTAATAGTTTTTCATATAAAATTTTCATTCAACGAGTCTTTAGTTCAATTTTTGAAACATTTGACGCAACCGGGTCAAACTGATGCCCAAAAGCCTCGAGAAATAATATTTCCAATTAAAGAATTTCCTAGGGTTCTTGCAAATAGGAAGAAATTGTCCTTTTTCTGAGGTTATCGGGTGATCTCGAGTAATCAAAGTGACTGTGACATTAAAAATATTGGCAGCACTTTAGAATTATATTCCAATTTAGAATTATATTTTCATTCTTCGCTTTTAGAAAACAGATAAAAGATTTAAAATAAAGTGAACAAATTACATGCAAACTACATGCAAATCTCACTTGGTGCTTTTCTCTAGGTGGAATTGGTTGACAGTGATGAGGATGGACTGGCCTGGTTCTTCTGTCTGCACCATCCAGAAACAGTCCAGATTGTGTCCATACTTCCTCACTCCGTCAAAGTCAGGCGATACTCTGAAAAAACACAAAATTATTTCAAATAGTTGTTAAATAAAGTTCCAAAATGCGTGAAATCTATCTTGCCATCCATGAACGAACAGCACACTTTCACATTGTTACCCCTGGAAAACTTATTAAAACTTAGGAGAAAACGTAAAAAATTGTTCAGATGCTTTGCCGAAGTTTATTAATTAATTAAAATGGTCAACTTTTTTTCGCGCGGTAATAGGGCTAAAAATTGAAGATTTTTTCCTATTTACTCCACAGTTTTATAACAATTGTGAATTCTTTTATGGCTTAGTGCTCAATTTTTTGATGTATTTTATGAAAAAAAAAATATTGCGTTCAGAATAGATACATTGTTCGACATACAAAACTTCATTACATTATGACAATCGTAAAAAACAGTTCTACAAACTTGTAAATTAAATGAGGGGGGAAAATTTAAAAAACAATAGTCTTACATCGTTGTCGGTTGAGATGAGGAGCTGAGAGTGATGATGACGTCACCCGATTGAGGACAAGACTCACTAACCACTGTGTCATTGGCTGAAATAGAAATCAAATGAATCGCTCGTCTATAAAAACTCAAAGCAAGTACACCACAATTCTTTCGACCGGACTTCGTAGAACTAGTTAAAATTGCATAGCCAAGTTCATTTTGTTTTGACGAAGTAAGTCTTTTGTTTCCAATGAGAATTTTAATCTGTAGTCAAAATACAAACATGGCACCCTTGCAGCCAAGTTCTTCATAATCTGGTCTTCGGTTCATTCCAATGAAATTTTACAAACGTTTTTTTTTTTCATTATAAGTTTATTTATATTAGAAAGCCCTTTCCATCACAGAAAGCCTCCCCCTCATAATACAAAAACCATTGTCTGTGGGCATATTTTCTTGCTAATATGCCCCGAAGTGGGATATATTGGGAAAAAGCCGAAGCTTGTTTAAACATTCTCAACCTGTGGGGCATCCCTGTTCTTCCGCTTCGTCCCACCCCGACTCACAGTCGGTGACCCCATCGCACTTCTGAGAGTACCGAATGCACTTCCTGCTCTGATCCTGACACTCATAGAACCCAAAGTAGCACTCTCCTTGGTCTAAAATAGAAACATTGGTTTTAGGTTTTATCTTTGTTCTTTATAAATTTTTAAAATTATTTTCCCTATTGAAAAACAAAAGAAAAACCGTCGAGAGCAAGGATGAATGGTTCATGTGTATCACACTGTTTTTTGACCACATAACGTAGGCAAAAAAATTCGAACCTAAAATTTTTTTCTAAAATCTCGTTGTTTTTTGTTAAAGGGGAAACAAATTAAGTAAAGCCTTGCGATAGCGAAAAATTCAAAAAATCAAACAAGGCAAAATTTTTAGTAGAACTGGGAGTATTTATTTTTATTAATTTTTTCGGACTTTTTATGTATTTTTTTTTCTAATTTCAAATCTACTTGAAGAAACTTTTTTATAATGAAAACAGTTTGTAGAGTAGAGGTCATTATATGAGCCCAAAATACATATAATAATATTACGTAACCTCATATGCCTTTCAATTTTAATGTTACCGTCGGTATCTTAAGCGCGTACAGCAAATGGCCGGCGCAGCTCACGATTTGAAGTGGATTCTCTTACTCTTAGTTTTTGATTGAGATTTTTTGAAGTATACTTCCACATGGCGCAGTTAAATACGGATTCAGACTATCGCAGCTTTGATGTATTCTGGCATGGACCGACCCAGGAACCTCCAATTCTATGGGGAGATTGGATCCAGGCAGACAATCGATTGAAATCAAAATAGTTTCTATAACTAGAGAAACAAGGACAGAAATATTTTAATAAAAAAGATCCTCACCACAAAACTGATGACGGAACTTTATCGAGTTATTACAATTGGCGTTCGATGCATTTATGAAAAAACCCAACGCTACTGAAAGATTATTTGGTTAAAAACGGCGTCACAATGAAAATATGGAGCATTTTTTGGAGCCCTTAGCAACTTTTGACTTCGATGACAAAGAAAAAGTTTTGTGCGAAACATTTTCTTATTCAACATGAAGGATGAGGAGGTCGAAAAAGCTTTGTATTGGAAAGACATTGAGCCCCAGCAATGCCTTGCCTTTTGCAGTAGTGAGAGAACCGGGAGATGTACATGGGATTCAGTGGGGGGCTTTGAAATGTCAAAAAGAATACGTTCAACCCAGGGCGAGCGAACACTTCGGAACAAAGTGGAATTTACGTTAAAAGAGATAAGCCGAACGGAGTGAATTGACAGGTGTTGGACAAGATACCCCAGGATACCCAATCACAAGGAATATTGCAAGGCGAAAAATATCATTGTTAAAAATTATAGTGGCAGAAGGCAGTTTGCAAAACTTTGCAAAAAAGCTGATGTTAACCAAGCGGAAGGAACGTACAAGTTTTTGCAAAACAAAACTAACATCATTGGGAAGTTTGATGAAGTTTGATGATCAACAGGAAAAGGAAAATTATGGAGTTTTGAAATCAGGAGAGTGATGGTTAAGGAGAGGAAAGAAAACAGAAAGTTGATGGACATCAAGACTGGAAGGAGCCGTTGAGTAAATGAGTTCCAAATTGATTGTGTCAACCCGATGTCGTGCATCTTCTATACAAAACTACATAAGCTGAAAACAAGAGAACAATTTCTCGGAGAGAAATCCATGTCAAAGAAGATACGAACAGCGCAACAGATGATGTTACTAAGATAACTGGACGTACTTTCGCGGATATTGAATCTGAAGAATGGATAGCCCGTGGCGGAGAATTCTTCATCTCAGAAGGTGGACACTGTGATATCTTACCAGCTCTGAGAATCAAAATCAAAATTAGTTATAGGGAAAGCACTAGAAGGGTTTATGAAGTGGGATGTGGTGCTGTGGAGACAATATTACCCAACTCAACGTAAGCACATCATTTGTTTACTGATAGAATTTCAAGAGTTGTTCAAAAGAAAAGGGGTATTAAGAAATTGCTTCCAAAACCAAACGATCAATACAGGTAATAGGAAAGAGAGTTCACATATATGTATTACCAAAGGTGGAAGAAACAATAAATGGTTTGCTAAAAGAAGAACACATTGTGAAAAAAAGAAAACGTACTGAGTACTGGTTGATCCTACATACCAATTGGACAGAACTTTGAAGCTGAATTTATAACGTTAATGACGAAAACAGCTGAAATCCTCAGCTGCAGTATAGAATCTTTGATAAAAAAAGATTGTAAAGACATTAACGAACTGGGTGCTTACCTCGGACAGTACGTCCCGAAGATTCTAACCTCAAACACAATTGTTTATGTGGAGGATAAAAAGATCATTCCTTCTGATTTACTGATTAATATTTGACAATTTGTTTCGATCTGTTTTCGAATCACAGGGCTCAAGTTACGATTCTTACAGTCGTGACAGGATTAAAACAGATCCTGAAAAACTATTTAACATTAGACGTAATACCAAGAGAAATCAGAAAATACCAACGTTCAGGTTTTGTTGCAAAACCAATCAGCGAACTCTGTACACATAATAATATCAAATTGACTTTTGCACCAGTGGCGAATCATCTGGCCAGAGGTTTAGTGGAACGATGTATTTGTACGTTTAGAGAGAGGTTGATGACTCGTTTGTTTCAAGGATCAAAACCAGGGCTCAAACCGATTTTGAACAAAAATATGTACAACATAAGGACCAAGACTCAAGAATAGGACGTTATCCATTCGAAGCCCATTTTGGGCCAAATATATTTTTAGCGCACAGTAACTCGCGATGCGACGTTTAAAAACTTGTCATGAATAAATGTACTGTTTTCAAAATATCGGAACATAACAAAATTTCCGGCAAAGGCTATGGTGGAATACACAAAATTGGTTGACGGATCCACAACAGGAATTTTTGAGAGAATTGAGTATCCCTTGGCCTCGATACAACGAACCATGGCGCCGTCACCAGTGCAAACGCGGCATAAAGCACCAGTATTAGATGCTGAGAGGAAAGTTTTGAAAATTTTTCCGGAAACTCAAGGATTGGTAAAAATCGTAACTTTTTTTCAACTACTCCGAGAGGAGGTAGTTTTGGAAACTTATCATACAATTGCTGTATTATCGGGAAAATTTATATATAAGTCTGTGATCTCTATAAGTTTAGCTACCGAGTCACGTTCACCACTAGCGCCGGACACCACGATAAATAGCCATAGGCGTTCAGAGAACAAGACTCGTGGACGATCAGAGATCTACACAAGAAAATCAAAAATGGCTCAAAAGTTTGCAGAAGGCAGTGCAGATAAACCGACTAACATTGATAGTTCATCGGAGGGACTAATGTCGACCGGAAGTCCAGGCGTGGTCAAACTGACGGCGCATGTTGTGTTTATGGTAGACAAAGAGAGTGAACAAATAGTTTCAGAGCGGGTAGCAGAATGGTCTAGAGAAAAAGGCTAAATGTATGAATCACAAGCGAAAGATCAATTAGTACACCCTAAGACTGACAATATCGCGCCGTATTCAAGATCTGAGGACGGGAGCATAGCACGGATGAAGACTGCTAGGGAGATAAGGCCCGAAATCCCAGTAATTATGTCAACGGCGGACGAAACTCAGGAGGATGAAGTGGATCAGGCGAACGGCCAGGGTTCGATTGAGATCGATACCTTGTCGGTGAGAACACCGGAGGTAGACATGTTATCATCAGGGCTCAGCCAAGCGTACTCAAACTGGATTGTCAGCACACATCCGATATTGGCTGTGTGCCATTAGCTATGCGTGGCCAAAAGACCTGCAGGGGGTTGGCAGAGAGAACGCCTATGGCATGAAAAACGAGACATATCACGCGACCTCTGCAGAACAGTTATCGGGTGAGAGATTTTTCACCAGCGCGATTTTTAGGGAAACTAGTCAAGTAAATCTCGTTGTCCATCAGGATACGTCACACGATGAAGGATTCAATCAACAGAAAACAACATCAACTGTGGTGTTATGTACGATTAGTAGACCGAAAGGGAGAAGTAGCGCCAATAGGGGGACAGGATGTCAAAAAAGAAGGTAACCATCAACCCGCCTAAAATGGTTTCAAGCCCAAAAAAGCGAAGTGCTGAAGACACGTACTTCGACAGAGAAAAGTGCCGGTTTTATTGGTTCAACGATTACTTATATGGCGATATTTAAGGACGGGATGGGGATGTGTCCTGACTTTTCGTGGACGTTCAAGACAAACTACGGCGTATAGTAAAACATTCGTTAGGCGTGTCATCAGTTACAGGCTCACAGAGCACTTATATTGATGCTTTCAGACTGCAACTGTAATCTCTTTACCGAGGTCTTGAGGCTCGCACCAGGAATAGCCCAAGAACCCGCACAGAACACGCAAAGAACACGAGAAGCAATCGATAAAGCCAAGTAGGAATCGCTGGATAAAATTAAACCACAGTCGGTAATGTTGGTGTTGACAATTTTAGTTTAATTAAAATCACACATCGGTCAAACCGTTCGGCGCTTCAGAAGTCATGATTCAAATTAGACCTTTAACTATTACAGCTTAAATACTAACATTTGGGTATCTAGAGCAGACGAAGGCGGACGAGCTACCGGTGAGACTAGAACAACAGTCGACACCCTTGGCATTAATGGTTCACGGGACAGCGGTCAAGGCTAACATCAGCAGGGACTCAACTGGCCCATTCGCAGCGGATTACCTGGATAGCGCTGATGATTTGTCAACCATCAGTATGACTGAGGACGACCAAAAGCAAATTTTAGAAGAGCTAGAAATTCTGTAGAGCATCCAAGTTTCAACAACTCACAGTCTATGAAGTGGAGAAGAAGAAAGTATGAAAATTGATAGCCTTCGGGCTAATGAAACTGAAACGATTAGATTACAAACTTATTTCTTATACAATTATCCAGTAAACTTCGTTGATATTGTCACTATTTCAATTTAATTGAAGGAGGATTAAAGAGTGGAAGTCTTTTTTTTTAGCCCAAAGCACTTTATATTGTTTTTACGTAGCATCATATTGACTTTCAAGGTCATCGTTACCGTCGGTCTATTAAGCGCGTACAGAGAGTGGCTGGCGTAGCTCATTGAATTGAAGTTGATTCTTTTGAGCTTAGTTTTTGATTGAGATTAATATGAAGTCGTGCAAGAGCATGCCTTCAAACACTTGATCAGGTCATTGAGTCAGTACAATTTGACTAAAAGGCTCACTTCACATCATAGTTTCCCCCATAAAAACAAAGGGAAATTTGAACAGTAATTTCGCTATAGTCCGTTTTGCCGTTGAAGTTGACAAAAGTTTTCTAAGTTACGGAATTGAGAGTAAAAAACATCCTATTTCATCTACCAAAGTCGAGTTATACCTTTTTTCAGCTCCGTCGAATCTTATTGTTGTTCCGACTTTCGATACGAAAGTGACGGAATATTTGTGCTCGGGGTGGGTTTTTTTTTCTTCAGACAAATTTCGACTTTTTAACTAGCCATTTTTGACGGAACTTTTTATATCATTCAAAAGGTATTGTTGTCTTGAGCTCAAATTTGAAAAGATATTTCACCTGTGATCATTTTTCGTAAAGTTATGAGGGTTTAAAGATTGCCATTTTGGCCATTTTTACCAACTTGGGACAATTAACGCGCGATATAATTCGCGCTATTAACGCGTAAGCGGAGATTTAATCCGTCTTATAAATCGTCCCAAATTGGTTGCACGAAGCTTATTTGCCATAATTCGTTTGTTACAAGGAACGAAATCTCTCTTTTTGTTCCGACTTCCGATACGAAAGTAACGGAATATTTGTGCTCGGGTGGGTTTTTTTTTCTTCAGAAAAATTTCGACTTTTTAACTAGCCATTTTTGACGGAATTTTTAAATATCATTCGAAAGGTATTGTTGTCTTGAGCTCAAATGTGAAAAGATATTTCACCTGTGATCATTTTTCGTAAAGTTACAGGGGTTTAAAGATTGCCATTTTGGTCAATTTGGGACAATTAACGCGCGATATAATTCGCGCTATTAACGCGTAAGCAGAGAGTTAACCCGTCTTAGAAATTGTTCCAAATTGGTCAAAAGAAGCTTGTTTGCCATAATTGGTTTGTTACAAGGAGCGAAATCTATCCTTTTGTACTTTATATGGCGTGTGGGGGGGGGGGGGGGGAGGATTTTTATAAAAAATTTTAAATTTTAGAAATTTTTTTTTGCATTTTGTTTTATTTCATTGAATTTTTAATTGTTATTACTGCTCCATAAACCTTAAAGAGCAGTCGGAACATTCACGGCTTCGCCCTGATACGAGCAGTCTTGTTTACTTTGAAAATGGATAGTTTAATCGCATTTCTAAAAAACTCTGTTTTGTCAAGGAAACTACCTATTATAAAAAATACAATAGATTTATTCACGTGTTGACATTATCGGTTATCCAAGTTTTTTTGGCTGCTTGTATTTTTTTTTCATATTGTTTTAGCAACTTTTATCCGAAACTTCTGTCATTTTAGTTGACTTGTTAGGATAAGTTGATTAACATATTTTAACTCAATTTCCGATTCAACCGTTGATTTTAAAAGACTAACAAGACTGCTCGTAACAGGGCGAAGCCCTGAATGTTCCGCCTGCCTTTTAAGGTTTATGGAGCAGCAGTAATAACGTAAAAAATTAAATGAAATAAATTAAAATGAAATTTTTTTTCTTCCAAAATTTGAAATTTTTTGTGAAAATCATCCCCCCACACGCCATATAAAGTACAAAAAGATAGATTTCTATCCTTGTAACAAATCAATTAGGGCAAATAAGCTTCGTTCAACCAATTTGGAACGATTTAGAAGACGGATTAAATCTCCGCTTACGCGTTAATAGCGCGAATTATATCGCGCGTTAATTGTCCCAAATTGGTCAAAATGGCCAAAATGGCAATCTTTAAACCATCATAACTTTACGCAAAATGATCACAGGTGAAATATCTTTTCAAATTTAAGTTCAGGACAACAATGGCTTTTGAATGATATAAAAAAATTCCGTCAAAAATGGCTAGTTAAAAAGTCGAAATTTGTCTGAAGAAAAAAAAACCCACCCCGAGCACAAATATTCCGTTACTTTCGTATCGAAAGTCGGAACAACAAGATTCCTCGTATCAGGGCGAAGCCCTGAATGTTCCGACTGCCTTTTAAGGTTTATTGAGCAGCAGTAATAACGTTTAAAAAATTAAATGAAATAAATTAAAATGAAATTTTTTTTCTTCCAAAATTTGAAATTTTTTATGAAAACCATCCCCCCACACGCCATATAACGTACAAAAAAGATAGATTTCGTTCCGTGTAACAAATCAATTATGGCAAATAAGCTTCTTTCAAACAATTTGGAACGATTTATAAGACGGATTAAATCTCCGCTTACGCGTTAATAGCGCGAATTATATCGCGCGTTGATTGTCCCAAATTGGTCAAAATGGCCAAAATGGCAATCTTTAAACCCTCATAACTTTACAAAAAACGATCACAGGTGAAATATCTTTTCAAATTTAAGCTCAAGACAACAATACCTTTTGAATGATATAAAAAAGTTCCGTCAAAAATGGCTAGTTAAAAAGTCGAAATTTGTCTGAAGAAAAAAAAACACACCCCGAGTATAAATATTCCGTTATTTTCGTATCGAAAATCGGAACAAAAACAGATACTATTTTCTTTTTTAGAGCAGAAAAGTTTCACGTAAAGATGGGCTGAGCAAGCTCATTGCAAATTAAACCGAAATAATTAACTGGATTTGAATTTATAAAGATTTTCTACGAGTTATTCTATATCGATGGGGAAAAACTTGCAGAAATACTTATTGTTCCGACCTTCGAAGAAAGATGAGCTGAGCGGAAGATTTCAGCTAAGGTAGTTATCTATCTTCAGTCTTCTATATCAAAGTTTAAATCTATACTTGTGCGTTTCTTATGGAGTTTTTTTGCACCATCTGAAAATGTATGATGTCTGGAGCTCAAGGATAAAAAATTCACCTTGAAAGTCATCGAGGTTTGAAAATAAATTGTTAATTGATAAAAGCGGCGGTTATATCGCCACAAGTAAATTGGTCATTTTTTTAGAATATAAAACGCTAAATAAAACGCTTTTCATTATACATTAACCGATTGCGTGCAGAAAAAAAAACAAAAACCCAAAAGGAAAAATTCTTCTTTTTTGTTTAATTTTTTAAATTAAAAAATGTAATTGGCTTTAAAGGGCAGCCAGAAAATCCATAGTTTCCTGAGCAGTTTTGATCATTTATAAACTAGTAAAGTCAAAACTGGCAAAGTTAAAGTTGATTAACTACGTTGAGAGCGCATTAAAAGTACTCAACGTTTCGCTCCTTTATACGAACAGTCTTGTTCAAAAATTCTGTTTAGATCAAAACTTTCAAAAAGAGTCCGATCAATGTTCCCTATGCCATTGGTCGCTCACAACAACTCGAAAAGCAGCTGTGAAGCTTTAAGTGAGTCAACTTCGGTTTTTGACGCAATGCCAACTTAGCGACTACTATGGTCTGACGCGTTTCAATTTGAATTCAGTTTAATATGAATAAAAAGTCGGCTGATTGTTTTAAATAAGCATACTAAATCATAAGGGGTCTAATAACACATACCCGGTTCTTCATCCCACCTGGGACATGATGACTCATCGCTCTTGTCGTCGCAGTCGTCTGTTCCGTCACACCTCCACGACACAGGCACACACAGCGACAAGTCCGCACATTGGAACATCTCCGATGAGTCACCACTTGCACACGACACTGTAAAATACATCTAACAGCAACTGTAGTTTTCAACCAATTTATTGGAGAATTTCTTGAATTTCTTGAGTTTCTCGAATGTCATGAATTTCTCAAATAATTGCGACCTTGGGACAGCGCGATAGCGTTGAAATACATCCGAACTTTAAAATGGCAGCTGAACTGTCAAAAGAGCAAAGCAAAAAGACGTGTGCGCTTTCTCAGATAAGTCCATTTTCTATATAAGTTCATGCTTCAATTTCAATTTTTTATACTACGACGATTTACTATTCAGAATTGTTTCAAACATTTTCTGCAAGTCTTTAAAAAGCAACCCGAGTCGAGATTTTTCACCAAATTTGAAGCAAGATTTGAGCGGTTTTTTAGACGATTACGCTCAAAATCTTGCTTCAAATTGAGCGGTTTGAGCGGTTTTTGAACGGTTTATCTAAAAAAACCGCTCAAAAACCGCGCAAGATTTGAGCGGTTTTTATAGATAAACCGTTCAAAAACCGCTCATTTTGAAGCAAGATTTTGAGCGTAATCGTCTAAAAAAACCGCTCAAACCGCTAATATCTTGAGCGGTTTTTGAGCGGGATCTCGACCCGGGAATAGGTCACTCTATCTCGTCCTGCATTGGTCCGTTTTCTATTCATATGAACCTGATTACTCATATTGAGTTTTGATCGAGCAGTGCTAGAGGAGTTATTTGAAGCCAATTTCGGAAAACAAATTTTTGTGAAAACGATTTCAAAAACTGTTTTTCGCAAATCCGTGCTTCGAAACTAAGCTCAAAAGAGCTTAAAGATATGCACCTCTGGTCAGAAGAAAAAGAAAATGTTTCGTACCAGAGTCTGCCCTGCTGCCCGCATCCTCGCTTAGCTCCCTCTCGAACGAGTATGCGAATGAGTCATCCAGAGTAGCCAGTGTCTGGAACTGTTGGGTGTGGAGCAGTCTGCTCTTCTTCACTGGGTTCATGTTGCACAGGGTCACACTTGGGAAAGCGAGCGAGTCTTCAGACAGAACTTCCAGGTTCACGTACACTAGAAGGTCACTATTTAGGTCACTATTTAGGTCACTATTTAGGTCACTATTCAGTAAAAAACACTATTTAGGTCACTCATTTTTAGGACGCGTCAATTCATGCCTCAAAACGGATTTCCGAAAACTGCCGGCCAACCATTGTTAACTATTGAAAAATCCCAAATAAGTAAACTAGAAATTCATTCAGCTTTGGACTTTTTAAAAGACATTGTTAACTACCCGGGTTGACCTCCATACACCGAAAATGCTTATCATACAATTCCATACATCAAGTGTGTGGGAAAATGCTTGTCATACAATTTTCATACAATTTCTAAAAAGGGTTGAAAACTGGTATAAACTCGTTTCTGTGGCTGTTTGATTCTAATAAAACAGTCTGGTGATAAAAACTGAGGTTTTCGTTTTTTTTGAAAAAAATGCTTATCATACAATTCCCATATATGGAAAGTGTATGACTGGCATTTTTTTTTGATGGCGACACAAAGTAATTTTGAAAATTTGGCCCAAAAATTTTTTTGTTTTTTTTTCAACCGCAAATCGAATTTCGTACGCAAACAAACATTTTTCGAAAAAAAAATTTTTGCATGCAAAATTGAATATTTTGTGTGCATAACGTAGTCCAGGATACGATAAAATTGGCTTTTATTTTCTTTTCACTTATATATTTTTTTCAAAAACGCCGAAAATTCCTATTTCTTCTGTATGGGGTGTTAATGTATGCCTTGATCAATGTCTGATAATTTGAAAATTCAAAAATTTAAAATAATCATCATTAAAAAATTCTGCCAAAAAATAAATGTTTGTTACTTTTTTTATATCAATTGTAAAAGACAGGCACATTTAGGCCGTTTTCTATGCATTGTCAATGCAAGACCGGCCAACCTTTGGTGTTTTGAGTAACCAAGGTCTTTGTCACTTGTGTTCGGTTGCAACTACAACCGAAAATTTTTCAGAAACTAAATTTAGAAAGAAAAAATCAAAATTTTTGGTTTATGGAAAATCACGCTATCATACAATTTTCATATATGGAAAAATGCTTATCATAGAGTTTTCATACAATTTTCTGTACGTATGGAATTGTATGAAATTGTATGACAAGAAGTTTCTCATATATGGAAATTATATGATAAGAAGTTTTGGTCAACCCGGGTAGTTGATGATCGTTTAAAAAAGTAACCCTAGCAGTCACTTATCAACTCATTCTGAAACCATCATCCGTTTGAACAAAACTCGAGAAAAAAAATCAGATGTAATAACAACCTTGTGAACCATTCAAAATATTACGAATAAAAACTCAAAGCAAAATTAATTGAAATTTTTTTTTCGACCAACATAATTTTTCAGTAAACTTTCAGCTGATCAAGCATCAGAAATTGTGGAAATTTTGTATTTAATTGCTTTTTTAATGACAATGTTCAATTTTATAGAAGTTATGTAGTTTTTGATCGGCGCATATAAGCCAGTCGTTATTCAAGTTGCACTAACACGCTTCCGCGACTCAGATTTTTCACAGGATTAAGATTTGAGGTACCGTTTCGATATTTTGAAAAGTTTGAAGTTATAATCATCTTCAACTGGAAAAATTGATTATAATTTTTTTCTCTTTCAAAATTTTGTTTCAAGTCACTATGGTTGAAAAAATTGTTACTCGCAATTTTAATTCATAGTAATATGCTTAATCATCACATTTTGTTTTGACTTTCAATGTTCTGAAACCTTCGAAAGAAGTGATGGAATATTTGTGCATGCTTTGGAAACTAACCAGAAAAAAATCAATCAGACAAATCGCAGTCTCTTAACTCATTTTAACGAGAAATTAAATTTCATACATGGAACTCAAACCGCAAAATTTAGGGTGCAACGTCGACCACGTTACATATAGACCAAGCGGGAATGAGCCTCGAAGCTGTTAAGGCTCAACAAGGAAGCAAGTTGAATTTCCTACAGATTTCCAAGATGCTGCCATGGGTAAAAAAACTCATCTTGTTGCCGATTACAACCCACTTACTCTTGCAAGTGTAATCACCTTGTTCATCACAGCTCGTGGAAAGGATTATATGGATAAAATGAGAAAAAATCAGGTAAAAAATCATCGGGATATTAAAGGGCATTTATACTGGCAGTGTTGCTATTGTTTTTTCGACAACTGAAATTGGAGAGGAACTTTGTATTTACACGAAAAATCAGATAACTGTGAAAAAACAATTTCGATAGGTAAAGTTTCTATGTTGAGTTAAGAACTGTAAAATAGAAAGTTAGTCGGATCAAATGAAATAGCGGTCATGCGAAGGTGACAGACAACTCCGAAGGTTAAATACCACCTAGCGCCAGACAGTAGGTTAACTAGATTGCAACAACTAGAATGAAACTGAAATCAAATTGTGAACTAATTTAATCACTATGACATTACCCTTCTTGCGAGAGAATGAAAACTTAACTTTTGATACTCAATGAAATGTAATAATGTAATGGATGAAAATTAACAACAAGTTTTAGCTAGAGTTTTGATTTACTGAGATAAGCAAGGTTAAAATAAACTATTGAGTTTCCACCGCTTTACGGCATGCCCTCTCCCTGGACTTTGGAATGGTTTAATTTTGAGTGCTGTTCCATACTTTTCCTCCTCTCTATTTCGTTCCTTATTTTTCTACTACTTGGATGTTGTCAATCGTGACTGCCCCCATTTTGTTCACGGCCGTACGTTTCCTTCCCGAACGTCTCGAAGTGGTCTCATCTTGTGAACTCGCCAATTCTTGACTGGAATACGAGACAAGCCGTTGCTTTCTCACTCTCTTTTTTTTCCGACCTGTGGAATCTCCGATACTTTCTGCGGTTCGGCATCGTCGCGCTCCGTCTCCTTTGGATTTTCTTGCGCCTTTTTGTTCTTCTTCCGGTTCGTTTCGATTTCCGCCTCTCGTGCACGAGTGTAGTCAGTCGCCGTCTCGTAGTTGCTTGGTAAAATTGTCGTCGTCTCCATTTGTTGTCCCCCACTTGATGTTACTTGCCTCCCCAATTCAATGCTCGCCCCCGAGTTACTCCCATGTGGTTCGGTCACGTTTGTTTTAGTCGTCGTTTGTGTTTCTGATTGATTGACTGTCCGTTTCGCCGTCAATGGCACAAGGTCGGCCTCGTCCGATTCAGAATTCTCCTCGTTCTCCATGATTCGTCGTTTTGTCTGTTTGCCTGCGGTGTTTTGCTAAGTGCATGTGGTGCCTTTGAACTGGACGGTTTGTTTGCGAGAAATTTGCGAGCCACGGTGATGGCGGTGCGGTGATTTGTCCAGGCGCTCTTTTCTTCGGAGTTCTGGTCCGTTTTAGTGCCACTCCCGATTTTCTAAGCACAGCACCGTTACTCATTTTAATAGTATGCTCACTTTGACTTATGATTTTGGATTTCAATGGTTGAAACCTATTTAGGTTGCGTTATCCCGTCCGCTGCATTACGAACATTGGTGGCGTTACAGTCGCCGGTGCATCCGTGGTCCGTTTAATCCCTGGCTGGCTATCCTGGTTAGTGATCCGGTCGTCAGCTAGTCGCATTGGGTGGCGCCTGTTCTTAATTTTATACTCGGTATCCGAGCGGACTCCCCAGTTTGTGTCCGCCGGTGGTGGTATCAATTGAGCATCCGGGTCTCGTTCATCTAAGCCATAGACATAACACAATTTTCAGGATTAACCGGCGGATAACTTTCACCTGGACAAACCGATGAAACTGAAATGATGGTATTGCTTTTAGCGCTCCGGACTTCTGTGGTAACTGCCTGTATATTCTGATCTATCTCCTCTATTTCGTCGCTACTGCTAATGCTAGGGTGTCATTCAAGTAATTTTCTGATTTTCCGTTCCATGTTTAGGTTAGATTTTGAATTGTTGAAATTTATATACGAATATGAATGACCGAAATCTGTTTCAATAATTGTCCCAATTCAACTATCATTGAACTTAGATGACCGGCCGGATATGCAATTCGTCGCTCTGTGATTGATCCAATTTCCAACGCGTGTTTTTTTGTTCTCTAGCGACTGTTCTCTATTCGATATATTACAAACGCGTATATTATTATTAGCCATCGGAGACTCGATTTTGCCTTTGGAGAAGTTTTTCTTTTGAAATCCGAAGGCGGATCGAATTATACTAATTTTCGCAACCGTAAACATGCTATCATATGTACTGACCGGTTTAGCGTACGAACTAGGATGTCTCAATAAAAAATCCCCTAAGCCAATTTTAGCTCCGGGTTTGTGTTCCATTTGAAAATCAAACGGTGTAAGACGATCTAGCCACCGGCTATAAGACCGGTGTAAGACGAGCAGCAATACAAAAGCCTTCTGTTCCGTCACGAATAAAAATTTTCTCCCCAACACATAATTTTGGAAGTATTCTGCCCCCATACAACTGCAAGCTATTCCAATTCGTTCATTGAATACTTTTTTTCATCATCGCTTAAGTACCGGGATGCAAAGGATATCGGCCTCCATCCATCGGAATTAAGTTGTTCAAGAAACGCACCGAGCCCGTTATGGCTTGAGTCACAAACGATTCTTGTGTCACTGTGTATATCGAAATGCCGTAGTTCCATTATGTTAGCTACCTGCTTTTTTAGATTATCGAATGATATTTGACACTCAATAGTCGAGATATATTCATTTTTCCTGCTTAATAGGGGGCGTAGCGAGGCCGACAATTCCGCGAGTGCTGGTAGGTATTTGTGTAGGCTATGAATAGAGCCCATGAACGGTTTTAATTGCGAGACTGTTTTAGGGGTTTTTAGGGATTCGATTGGTTCAGTTTTTCGGATCAGCGGTGTAATTCCGGTGAAAGTTACTTTATGCCCCAACCATTCACATTCTTTTCGTGCAAACTGGCACTTAGTAAGTTTGAGCGACATGTTTTCTCGATCTTATTTCCGTAAAGTCTTCTCGAGCGTCGAGATATGGTCAATTTCGGAGCTTTTTGTGACAACCAGGATATCATCTATGAATGCGTGTGGCTAAGGAAATTCCAATAAAATTACATCCAATACTCTTTGGAATTCCGCCGGCATGGTCGTGAGGCCGTAAAACCCCGTTCGAAAGCGATAGGTTCCTGTTGATTTCCTCCCCACTAACAAAAAATTACATTGAACGCTAGTTTTTGGACTAAGTGGTAGCTGGCCGTAAGCGTATGTAAGATCCATCGTAGAAAAATATACATCCTCCGTTTTTCCTTCTCTTATCGTTTGTCGTACGGTATCCTTGAGCTCTTCGATATTGGGCATTTGATATTTGTTCTTGTGGACCTGTTTATTTAACTCCCTTGACTCTAGTGCTAATTTTACTGACCCATCTTTCTTCACTATGATTACAATTGGCGAGACAAAATATTTTTCCAAACATTCTTCCAGTTTTTCGATATGCTCTTGTTGAAAAAGATTATTAATTTCCTTATCGACCTTGTCCTGCAGTGTTATCAGTGTTAACATTTCAAAAAATTCGGCTTGTACCTTGTAATTTTTAATTTTACCGACTCTATGAAAAAGGTTAATAAATTGCTTACTGAAATAAGTCTGCCATGTGTCTAATGAGTCCTCCTCGATTGACGTTTCAGCCCCCAGTTGTTCTCCTTGAACTGACATCACCTTCTGCTCCGGTGTTCTTTGCACTATTTGTAGTCCCAGATTTGGCATTAGGTCCCTTCCAATGATCGGCGGTCTGTTTCTTCCTATCACCTTGATTCTAGCTTCGGTCGCCCATTTGTTTGTCTCAAGTAACACGTTCATCGTTCCTAGCAGCCGTAAAGGTGCATAATGTTCGTTTCAGTTCTCCGACTGTGATAGATTGGCGATCCGCTATCTATCCAAATATTTGTTTGCCTAGCATTAGTCTTAATTGGTAGTCTAGCACCGGCCACTCTCAACTCGGTTTGCTTCCGAGATTTTGTGGCCGTCACAACGTAATCTCCTGAGCTGTCCGAATCCCACGATCGTTGCCTTTTCTCCGGCGTGTTGACCCATCCAACTGAGTTTTCGTTCTGCGAAAAGACATCCTCAGCGTCGCCTATTTCGCTAACGTCCACATCCTCCTGGTTCTGAATCAATCCCCCCGCAGGTCTCCCTCTGTTAGTACACTTTCCGCGACAGGTTTTTTCATAGTGTCCGGTCTTCCGGCAAAAATTACACGCCGCATTTCTAGCCGGGCATCTGGATAGATGTTCTGGAGTAAAGTTGGGCTGATCACAGTTATAGCACCTTTTAGATGCTAAACATCTCAGATCCGCTCGTCTCCTGAACGATCCACGGCCGCGCTGCCTGCTGTTCCGGTTCGGTTTTGGTTTGGAACGCTCCAGCTCCACCGGTGGTGCCGCTAGTTGTTGTTCCCCCGGTCGTCGAACCATATGTCTTGGCGTACTTATATCCACGCTCGTATGAGAACGCGATACAGTACACCTCCCCTGGTGTTTTTGTTGATCGACATAGTTCGTTTTGTGCCTCTCTATTATTCAAGTTTACAATGAACACGTCCCTTGAGATTCTTGTCTCCAACTCTCCAAAATTGCACCGTGCTGCTAGTCTACTTAAAACCGAATAGAACTGCTGCAAGGATTCTCCAATCTGTTGTTTTTTTACCAGCCACAGGATCAAGTTCGATATTAATGTTTGCTCAGCCACCAGATGATTTTTTCTATCTACCTCCTCCGGTAGGGCCTTGTTTTGGGCTGTTGTTAGCGTGCTGGCGTAGTAAGAGTTTTTCGGATTGATACTGTCTTTGGCCACCATTCTCGATTGAAACCGATTAAACCAAAACTCCCATAGCATTGATGGCTCGGCTAACTTAGACGGCCAAAACGACGTAATTCCCAGTGGGTTTTTCCCCCACTCTGACCTGCTGGCTGCGCCATGAGAAAAAACGGTTTCGATAGGTAATTTTTGTACGTTGAGTTAAGAACTGAAAAATAGAAAGTTAGTCGGAGACAGTGAAACAGCGGTCATCCGAAGGTGACAGACAACTCCGAAGGTTAAATACCAATTAGCGCCAGACAGATAAGTTAACTAGATTGCTACAACTAGAATGAAACTGAAATCAAATTGTGAACTAATTTAATCACAATGACATACCACAAAAAAGTTGACTGGATTAGGTGATATATTATTTTGAAATTATTTCAGTCGTGACTCAAACAACATTTAAGAAAATTCGAAAAAATACTCCATTGTCAAGTTTGAAATTTTCGAGAATCAGTCTAATTTAGAGCAAGTAACGCAATCGAGTAACATTCGTTATGGAAAAATTGATGAGAAACGGTCAATTAGGCTTTAAAAAACTTGATTTTTATGAAAACAACTAGTTGTAGTAGTTTCATTTACTGCTTCCTTGGCAATTAAATGTTTCTAAAAAAATTTTTTGAAACTATTGTGCAAAATAATAGAAGAAAATTTTGGAGTTTTTTCATTTTTTTTTTCAAAATTTTTGTTGGTTTTTCGTTGTTTGAAGATAAACGTAGTTCATTTTGCCTAATTTACTAATTTTACACGCATTTGTATAAAAAAAAAACATTTTTTGCAGTTTTTATCTTGACGGTGGTCGAAACATTCTGTCGGACCAGCTACCTTTATTTCAATTTGGCATATACCTGGTGCCTCTCTGTATGTGAGAGTGAGCAGAGTCATCTGGTAGACGAATCCGAACCAGCAACTGAGCCATACTATGACCCACACCAGTCGCCATAGTGTGTGTGGCAACATGGCCACTTTGTCCACCATGGCCACATCTTGTACTGCAGGAACACCTATTTAGAAGCAAAATTTTATTTTTCTAAAATAATTTAATCACTTTATTTTGATTTTATGTTCTGAATTCAAAATATCATTTAAAATTTTATTCGTTATTTTATCATAAGATTTCGCAGTATATTTTTTGTTAGTTATCACTGTCTGTTAGTTTTTCTCAAGTAAAAATGGTACAAAAAGTGACATAATTTAACAAAATTTGTTGAATTAGCAGGACGATCTGTTAATAAGTCCTAATTTTATATTAAATTATAATTCATTAATCTATTTAAGAGAACTCATTAAAGAAAAAACCATACAATCTGTTTAGTTTTTTACAGTGAAGCGCTGATGTGTACCTGGTTAAGAACTACGTCCAAACTTTTTTGGTAATTTTTCTGGGTTGGATAATGTTGCCTTAGCCGAGAACGGTAACTAACACGGATCCGGTGGAAAGATAATTTATCGGCATACATTCAAAACAAGCCAAGCCAGGGGGAACCTGCTGGGATTTTAAGGCAATCCTGGTTTCTCGACCAACTTCGGGTGTTCGGACTTAAAGCCTGCCTTAAAATTGCTTCACGACCGGAAACATAATCAAGCATCTCGGGGGGGGGGGGGGGGGGGTAAGCAGTAACCATCGAAACATCCTGCCAGAAACTGTAAGACAGTTAAAAAAGAACAATTATTCCTTATGAGATGCTCATAACAGCCTGGAACCATGGTGGCCTGCCTCGTTCATAGGTCTGGCTCACTGTATGGTTCCTTATGTATTGACTCTGCACTCTAAAATCTATCATGCAAATCTTCATATGTAAAATTCCTCAAAAAACTTGGAAATTCCTCAAAGTTGAATCAGGAATCCACATGGTGCAATAAAAGTTCCCATGGCAAGCTATTCGATAAAATATTATCGCTGTCTTCCATAAAAGATTTGATCTCTGTTTTTATCAACCAACCTGTATTTGCAATGAAGTGTTCGAGCAGATCTCCAATCACGTGAATTTCATCTTCTTCTTCTGTTTTATCTTCGTCTCGGCCATCACCTTTTGAGTTACTAGAAGACGTCTCTTCTCCACTTTTGAATCGATTTTTCAAAGGATTACTACCATCCGATCCAAATGTGGTTTCTGCCAGATCTCTCTTTTTATGTTTTTCCGGAGGATTACCAACTTCTGGATCATCTGGTGACTCATAAATTCTTCCGTGAAAGTGATACTTCCCAGATGTCTTGTTGTCAGGCGGCGGCTCGTCAACATGCATATTAATATCAGAGAACTCGACGTCCATTTGTTATATATAACTTCGAATAGATTCTAAACTAAAATGATATTCTTATCAATAACAAGAATTTTCTCTATTTAAACTGTTCAAGAACGTGAATTGAAAACATGACTAGACAAGCAAATCACGTAAACTTCAAAAGATGAAACTGATTTAAAAATTATTACTCTGTGCCGCATAATACTATGATTTGGCAAAACATACTATGATTTGAAGTTTTGTTTTGATACATGATGATTTTTATGACTCCATTTTGCTTTTATGTGATTTATGGACTGTAAAATAGACAATCTTAAACTTATATACCTGTTTGATCAGTTTATTTTACTTTTTTATTTAAACGATTTTTTTGCTTATCCTCATACGTCATGGCGATTAAAAAAAGTTTTTTTTTCAAAAAAAAATGAGCATGTTTTTAACTTTCCGTCCATATGGCAAAAAACAAGAGAAGAGTCATTACCAAATTTATTATGGACACGGCTTGGTCATTGATTTAGTTCGTGATTAAGCGGGACGTAGTAGGCACCAAAAAAAGGCGTAACTATTGATTAAAGAGATCCAAAAAGGATGCCGCATTTCAGTTGCATGTCAAAAAGAGTTTCCAATTCAGAGGGTATGGACCCGTTACATTAAATGGTCAAACTGTGCACTGGATAGGCGCACAACTTGGTGTCTATATGCTCATGGAGTCTTTGATTATGTTCCCATATGTCAGTGGATTCCACTAACAAAGTTTCCGTGGATTCCGCGTACAAGTACCTGTAACGTAAATTTTGCCGGCACATTTGTTTTGCTGCGGATTCCGCAACAAGCAAATAAAGCTAGTTGTTCTGGTTTCCGCAACTCTAAACTGATTCCGCTAAGTGTAAGTGGAATCAGCAAAATTTGTAAGCGGAATCCACAAATATAAGTCGATTCCGCAATTTGTAACTGGATTCCGCAATTTTGTTCATTATGGAACATGCATACAAACAATTAAAAGCTAGGGATCGAATTTTTATCTATTGCAACTTGCAATTTGAAAACATGGATTTATCCATTGTCAGCGGAATCCACAAAAAAATCTTCAAACATTGGTTAACTAAATAGGTGCGGATGTGAAATCTTTATCGATCACCTGATGATCGAATGACTTTTTATGATCGGAAAATACAACCATCGAATGCCAATTAGGGTTTGAAATGGTTTAAAGTGGGTTTGGAATGCCAGTTCAGGATTTGAAATGGTTCAGAAATCCTCATCACTCATCCATATTTGAGATGAGGTTGTTCAGTTACTTCCAAAATCATCATCGATCATCAGAGATGAGATGTTTTCAATGTTCATTGGGGTAAAGAACAGCTCAATTGTATTTTTCAAAGCTGAACTGGAGCATCAACTGAAAACTGGATTAAAACATCTTCTTTTTATAAAACTGTAAACAAAAACTTATTCAATCTGTAAAACATACAGTATGAAAAATGAGTTAAAATTATGTTTATATATCTTGTTGAGCAATTTGATCAATTTGATTTTAAAAAAATAAGGTCAGAATTTGGTCCGCAGTTTCATCATAATATGGTCAGAAAACAAGGTATCAATGTTTTGAAATTTTGTTGATAAATTGATCAGTTTTTTGGTTCTATTTTTTAAAGTCTCCTCGGCTGTTTCGGCTGTTTCTGAATCTTTTCCCTCAAAATATCTGTTGTTTCAATGGCTCTATTTATTTCTGTGCCTACTGCTGGTATTCTTATTCTGGTTTGATTGTTGAATTATTCTCCAAACAAAGTTTGAGTTTACCTCTTTTTTTGATTTTAATTTTTTCTTTCCACAAGTTTGTACCTACATCGTTTGACGTCTTTGTGTAGTGACGTTTGAGCGATTCTAAAAAAACTTTCACAGAGTCAAGCGAAGTATTTCGTTCCTGAAAAACGAAGGGTGTAGTACTGTAGACTTGAAAGGAAATCAACTATTTCGTCAGTTGATGAGTGCAAAGAATTACAGCACCGAATGGTTCTACCAGACACTGCTTTAACCAACTGGCCTGGCATTATTTCAATTTTAGTGAGGAAAATTTTGGTTGGAATGATTGTAGAAACTTCTGGACTTGGGGTGCCCGGCTTGCATGGTAGTTTAAAGTCGCAATTGCAGACGAGGGCTTGCAGAAGTTGGTTTTTGTACTCTCGGTATCTAAGATCAGCCAACTTTGAATTGACGGAACAAAATTGTAGAGTTAATACTGACATAATGAAACGTGCAAGCCCTTTCATCAAAAGCCCTTTAATCATAGCCGTAGCGCTTCGGGTTGGGTCCGACATCAAATCGGGATGACAGAGCTGTTCTTCGACCTCGACCACGGCCACTGGCCCGGCCTGGCAGAATCCTGACTGACGGCGCCGAAATCAATGGCACTGTTCTGCCACGATCGCACCTAAGCCCGATTGCCCAATTTTCTGACAAACTGTTGTCGGAGTGTTGTGAGTCGGATATAGTGCCGTTGCAGAGCCTTGCATGCCCCTGCCCGCGCCCGCTCGCCATAACGGCATATGCGGCACTGACTTGCTCGTCACTACTAGAGGAGTGGAACCAGTTTAAAACTAGTATTTACATCCGATTAAATTACTGATAAAACTACTTCTGTAAAAGACTTCTTTGCAACCAATCATGATTATTAACTAAAATTTATTATAAATTATATAGCTGAAACTTTCCATAGTTTCAGCAATAGAACAGAACAAATATAATTTAGCAAATTTTTTCAACAGAACAGTTCCTGGTAAATTAACTCGTAAATACCTGTAAACACTAGATTTTTTGGGGATAGCAGATGAAAGAGTATGATTGAGATTGATATTAGACAAAGAAGTTGCACGAGTCTATTCGGCTAAATTAAGATAGCGTGACGAACAGACGGTGTATGTTATCTGAAATTACTCTACTAGTGAGCCAACCCGGATTTAAACTCATCAGGTGCGACCAAGGGTCTCAAAGAATGACCTCAACAGTCTTAGATCTAGCAAATGCAAACTAGACATAAGATCTAAGGTTCAAACACAAAACAAAAATTGATAAGAAGGTTGAAAACTTACCTCCACGTCTCATTAAGTCTAATCAACACCAAATATTATTCAAACTTACACCAGGTCAAAACTCGAATAAAGTATTGAGCCTCTAGATCATGAAATGAAATAGCAGACTGCAACGACTACTTTTCTACAAGATTATCAACGCAGTACATTTTCATTCACAAACACAAAATAGTTGTTTTTGGAGCAGTAAGATTCTTTTTCAAGCCATACATCTCTCAAGGATATATAGCCAATCAATTGTAATATTATAACGACTGACAAAAAAGATAAAAATGTCGTTCAATTCGAACATACCTGCAGTAGTTTTAAAAGTTTTTTAAGTTTAAAAATAATTGAATAAAAAATTTATAAAGTTAGTGAAAAATTCAAAAGGCCATATTGTCAAGGCCTATTTTTACTTTGTAACAACCTATTTTTTGGTTCAAACCCTAAAAATTGAGGCTATCCTTGGATCTTCAATTTTTATCTTAATTCTAAATGTTCATTTTTTAAAATTATTTGATCATCAAGGTTTCCTTTGATCAATTCGAACAATTTTTTCTCTTGTACTCTTTGTCACAGTTTCACTGTTTCATTTCTGTTTCACTTTTTCATCCCCTCGCATTTCACTCTTTCTTTTCTGTTGCGTGCCGCCATCTCAAAATTGAGAGATTTAGCTTGAACCAAAATTAAATAAAAATGAATGTTGCCTAAAAAATTGGGAAATTTGAAGTGTTCCAATAAAAGCTAATAATTTCTTTATACTTACTTTGAATTGTTCAGAATATTTGAATGAAAATTCAAGTAATTATACAAAGTATCGAGAGATTTCTTTTAACGTAAAAAAAATCGAACGAAATAAACATTATTTGCTGTTGCATAGGGAAAAACAACCAGTCAGAATTGAGTAGTATTTTAGTAACACTGTTTGTTCAAGATCAACCAATCAGAGTCCAGTTTTTTCTAAAATTGAACTATTTGTTATTTTTAGGAAACTTTATTGATTAAAAAATGTCTAAAACATTTAAGTTTTCTCGAGCTACTTTTGAAGAAAAAAATTCCAAACGGTTTTGCTATTAATGAAATAGTTGTTGACTCTTACTTTTTTCATTGTTTTTGGACGTTCATGTTGTACAAAATAGAGTTTTCCGGCTAAGTAAAGTTCTCTTTTGAGAGTTTTAACCAATCAAAGGGTTTAATTTTGAGTATAGAATATCAAAGCTTTAAACTTACGGCTGAATTACACCTGACAAGGAAAGAAACTTTGTTTATTCTTGAAAATTGAAAATGATCAAAAAGTCGTATGATGTTTATCAAAGACTCTTTTTTGTCTTTACCCGATTCCCAAATTTGTCAAAACTCTCCAGAAAAATTTTTTATTCCTCAACTTTTTAAAGATTTTCAAAGTTCAAAATCCTGCATGATCAAGTTTGGAATATGATTTCCAGAGATTTGCTTTTAAAAATTCATCAAAACATGCAAACCCAAATTAAAATCAAAGAAGATGATTATTTACTCAAAAATCAACAATTTCTCATTGATTATAAACAAAAAACTTCAATTGACTTGTTGAGAAAACTTGCAGAGGTGCTACTTATTTTAATTTTCCTTCTTTTGATAATTATATCGGCGTTTTTTTTAAATTTTTACCACGAACAGCTTTTGGTCATTCATTTTTGCAACTTTTTTTGTACAATTTACTTTTTTTACTTTGAACCGTCCCACTTTTTGGGAGATTTTATGTCGGTTGATAACTGTAAGGCCGAATAATGCTTTGTGATTGGTAGGCTTGGTTATTGCCTACCACTCACAAAGTTGGTTTGGTTATTGAAGTTTAATTGATTCAAAGATATTTCTTCTGACGGAAGTATACATATAGAGTTAGAACCTTGGATATTTGAGAAAATTTCTGCCAAAACAAAGAATCTAATCAACATTGATTGAATACATAAAGCGAATATCAGTTTTTTCCCCAGTTTTTTTTTAAAAAACTTCCGCTGTTTTAAACTAAATTAAGGTAAAAAATTTTTAATTTGGACTTTTTCTATAAACAAGGTTTTAGTTA